AAACTTTACTTTTGATTTGGATTGGAAGAAAAATATGAAAGAAAGAATATTAGGAGGGAAATCTTTTTAAAATAATAAACTTTTTCACTATCTTTTAATTTTTTTTATTTTATTATTATTTTCTCCAGGTTTTCTTCCAATTTTTTCTCCAACTAAGGACGTGACGCAGCAAGGATTTTATTGCGAGAGAGTTAAGATTTAAAAACACATGTAATATGAAGTTTGTATAAATTTTGAAGACGAACATGAACAATACATATATAATGTTGAGAAAAAAATTGAAAAATGGGAAGCGTACCCCCACGTCCATCAAAGGATGTGGATAGTAAAATTATAACAAAACAGATAATTTTGTTTCTTTTGATATTTTCTTTTTTGTTTTAACACTTATTCTTTTTTATTTTTTTGGTTAATATATTTTTTTGGTTAATATGTAATTTGAATTTTGAACTATAAGTTCAAAGACGATTTAAATCCTAAACTCGTATTTGATATATTTTGAATCCTAAATAATTAAATTCAAGGTAATTTTGTCCTCACCATTAAATCAAAACAAACATTTGTTATCTTTTTTTTTTAAAAAAAAAGAAGTCTAGATGTGTAATTTCAAAGGAACGTAAGAGCGAGTGGGAGAGTATAATTTGAGAGAAATTGCAAATGATTCCCCATTTTTTTTTTAAATAACAAAATTTGTTTTAATTTAATGATGAGGATGAAATTACTTCAAATTTAATTGTTTAAAGTTTAGAATACCAAATATGAGTTAAAAATTCAGGTTGCCTTTGGCTCTATAATTTAGGGTCTAAATTATATAATAACTTTTTTTTTTCTTTCTATACTGGTTTCCAAGATTTTGATTTAATCTCTTGCAAGGCATTGATGATTATTCAAACAAATAAAGAAATTCAATTTTCTTTATATAACATTTGGTTTGATAGATTATAATTTGAATTTTAAATTTAATATCTCACATTTTAAATATCACATTTAAAATTCATGTATTTAAAATTATTTATTTAGGCAGTTTAAAAAATTTCAAATGAAAAAGAGAGATGAATTGAGATTTAAGACTAAAATATACTTTTAGTCCTTTAACTTTATATAAAGTTTTAATTTGGTTCTTTAATTTTGTAAAGTATTTTTTTTAGTCTTTTAACTCTAATATTGTTAATTTTAAATAATTATTTTTTGAGTCAATCATTATTATTTTAAAAAAAATTAAATTTAATATGTTAATATTTGAGAATGATTTTTCAATATTTAAAAATTTAATGTAAAAATTTATTGAGAAAAAACTAATAATATCAGGATTAAATAATTAAAAAGACACTTTATAAAATTAAAGGATTAAAATAAAATATTGTATAGGGTTAAAATGAAAGTAGAGAATTGAAAGTAATGGATTTGTCTATATTTTTTAATTGACAAAAAATAAGAAAAAAATATGAGAATCATAGAGATATTAATAATAAAAATATGAAGGGAATGATATGTTTGAACTTTGAAGAGATTGAAATTTTAAATATCTAAAATATAAAAAAATTTGAAATCACGAAAGAAATTTTAAAAAAAGATGAATTTAAATTTAAATCAATCTAAATTTATATATTTATATGTATTTAAAGAAAGGATTTGATATAAATCCAAATTCAACTCCTCAATAATTCAAACACACCGTGAAAATAAAGTCAAGGTTTTAACATTTCAGGATTCAACAATGTTTAAATACCGGATATTAGATTACTTGCATAAAAAGACTTTGCCGGAGGAATGGTTAGATTTTTTTTTTTTAATCTATTTGTAATCTAAAATTTTTTGCTATCATAAATCGCATATTATAATAAAAAAAATGGTCATCGTTTCGGGATTGCGACCATTGATGAGTTTTTCTTTGGGGTAAGTATATATATATATATATATATATATACGGGTCTCTAGTAAGAAGCCAGAAGAAAAAACAAAACCGTAAGACTAAAACAATATCACACCAGATACCACTTGACCAACAAAGAAGTCAAGTTAGGGAAAAGATGAACATTTTTTTTGTTTTTAAAAATAAAAAAATGATCCAAATATATAAAGTTGAATTCTGGCCAATATATATATACATACATATATATATATATAATTTAATTGAACGCTAACGTAATTAAATTACTATTTATTGAGATAATCTCAAATGGTTGTTTGATTATTAATGTAAAGCCAAGGATGATTCTTAATAGCCAAGCTCACACATAGGGACAATTTTCATGACATAGCAATCTTATTTAACTTGTAGATGACAGATGTGATACAAAGTTTAGCTAAAAGTTCTTTTACGTATGATTCACATTAATCATTCAAAGTACTTCACGGTCAAAACATAGCTGAACTAAAAAGAAATTGAGCAGCAACAACTATTGTTTTGAACTCATAAATGTGGAGGTGGATTAATTTCATATCAAAGATATATAGTTACTTTTATGAGTATTTTTTAAGCACAAGGAGCAATCTCCATTGATTGCAGAAAGCACCTCCTTCGAGATACTAAGAGCAATGAATAAATCTTTCTTAACTAAATTATTACATACTCCCTCCGTCTCCATATATAAAATATTTTTAATCGAATCATGCAAATCAATAAAAATTGGTTATCTAATTAAAAACACAACATTTCAATTTTGCCCGTAATTATAGTAAATTAAAAATGAAGCTCTTTTTTCAAAGTAAATTAATGAAAATACTTTTCTTTTTTTCTTTCTAATTTAATAAGGATGTAATGATCCATTCATTAAAAATATGCTAACAACTCCTTATATTTAAGGAAAAAAAATTTTAAAAAACTTCTTATATATAAAGAGAGAGGGAATATGCAAGAATTGGGACAGGGTAGTAGATTCAAATCCTACAAGTTGTAAGCATTTCTGTAAGCAACTTTTGAATCCAAAGGCATGTCTTGGCATTGGTAAACTTCTAAGACTAACTCATCTAAACATTTGTGTGTGTGTAAAGAGTCATATATCAGTAGCTAGTAAATTGAGTAAAACGAATTTGTAAGGGAAGATGTGGGCACTTTGGTGAAGGAGCATCCACTGTCATTGAGAGCACATTCTGTGCTCATTGCTCCTGAAATAATCTAATATAGATAGTACAAATTCAAGTACTTTTTATTTTTTTAAATGAGACTTTATAAAATTTTAAATAAATCTATTGATTACCAATATATACAATCCATATTTAATTATATCAATCCAAATTTAATATAATTTTTTATAATTTTTATAAATTGGCCACACAAATTCACTTTGTACATTTTAGATTCAAAATTTTTAACTTATGATATTGTCAAATTCAAAACAATCCAAAGTAGATCTATATGGTCAATTTATAAAAAAATGTAAAAAAAAATTAAATTTGGATTAGTCTGATTAAATATGAACTGTATATATTAGTGATTAATAAATTTATTAAATTTTATAAAAATTTATTTAAAAAAATAAAGAATGTATTTAAATCTTAATTGGGACAATGCAAATTATTTCAGGAGAGATGTCAAAAAAAAGGGCTCCCAACTGTCATATGAGCCCGGGTCTAACAATGTATTAAACTTTGCCCAAAATATAAAAAGCACTAAATTCTTCTCTTCTATAAACACTCTTATTAATTGTATTACAGAGCGATTATATAATTAAATTGAAAAGTAATCTCTAAAAAGTGATAATTTTTAGTGTACTTGAGTGAGTAAAGCTCAATTTTCATGCATATGCCCTGCCTCTCCACTGTCGTCTCTTTCCCAACATCCACACTTCGACTACCCTTTTCTCTTTCCTTATCTCTCTTGTTTCCCAATATTTTTTAAATTTTTGTTTCCATATTGAAGATGTGATCTTTAATTAGGAACGTGTCAATCACCTGTGTTGTACTTGGGAGACACGTATCATGGTGTGCCACTACCACATAGAAAAATGCATGTTCTCACCGATTCTGTTTCCTAATAAAAGGACCAAGCTAAACCAACTTGAAAACAAGATGTATAATACCTGCAACCTCCCATATATGAAAGTGAATCCAAAGCCACAAGACCATTGGCATCCTCCCTCCCGCTTTCGGCTTTGATATTCCAGATTTTCAATTTAGACTAATCTAATTGATAACTTACGAGCACCTCTTCAAAAAACATATCTTTCACTAAGAATTTAACCACTACTGCATACTCAAGATTTGAATTCGAAACATTTAATTAAATTGGATTAGCTAGTTGATCCAAGCGCCCAATGATATTTTTTTTTTTAATTTGTTTGTTTTTTTAAGAGTAGAAATACTAGAAATATTGGCATTACATGGGATAGTACCTACCATGTCGGTCTCAATTAACATGTTCATTTTCCCATGAAAATTTCATTTATTCACTAGTATTATGGGAACTAAATGCGCCTCTAATCATTAAATACTCAAAAAGGTAATCATGTGGGTTTGAACTTTGCCTTTACATCATGATACCTTTCATTTCATATTCTATCTAGACAAATACAGAAACATTTCAATGATGATTTTACACCATCTTTCTTCTTTTCAAAAAAAAAAAAAAACACGACTGACTTTTTGTACAATGATATATACGCATGATCTGCAAAGCATATTTACAGTATAATTACTAAACTAATCATCACAAGAGTCAAAGAATAGAAACTAAAAAAGGCTTGCTCAGTAGTGAGCTTAAGAATACATTTCCTTAGCACATGCTTCTTACAGACAAATAGCACAGGTCCATTATGTCATGCCAATAAACATATATTTATTTATGCCCTAAGTAATAAACTATTATTATTCATTATCTGAGGAATATGTAGCTTTCGGCGACGGATTGTCCGTTTTTATGGTGACTACGTTCATTGACTCCAACATATCAACGAATTATAAGTTCAGTAATTGATCAACCAATCATAAGCTGTTTTTAGGAAATTGAATTTTCAAGTATCTCCAAGATATAGAGATTCTTTGGCGCACCGAGCCAAAAATGAAAAAACATGTAAGTTTATTAGTATGGGTCCCATGATAAAGTATACCAAATTATAAACCTATTTATAATCAGCTTAGTCCATCTAAAAAAATTATTAAGTAATATGTCTTATGCTTCAACATATATCAAGGGCCACCAATAAAATGACTACTGACTAACCAGATTGATGGTCACCTGAAGTTACAGCTACCAAGTCAAATGTTCAGAATATGAGGGTCTCGCGACATGCTCCAACTTCCAAGCAGCAAGGAAGCCTCTCTGTATGCTTCTCAATTTATGCTAAGATCATTGGGAAAGAGAAAGCAGCTGATCAGAATCGTTCCTAGGGCTATGATTACCTCAGTGTAACATGCCTTGATCATAATCGTCCAAAACTAATCAAAGAATTATTGCTGCACAAACACGAGGAAAAAGAAGCTTCACAATACAATCCATGGTTTTCTCAATGGCTAGTTTGCTGCTCTTTGAGCAAAGTAAAAGGAATTAACAAAACTTATACCAAGTTTCTCAAATGAACATGATATGTGGAATTGCGGATGGACTTTTTAGTGATAGGTGCATTGATTACAATGTCAATTATGTGGATAGCTAGTAAAAAATATCCATGTCATGTTTTACCGCAGAATTGATAGCAACCACTGGAAAAGGCACAAGTTTTGCCCAAGAAGGATTATTTCACTACCTCAAATACACTGTGATGAGACAGGGATAACGGATCCTATTATTCCACTATCCACAGCCATTTGTAGCGGATCACCTGTAAATTTGTGCGCTTGGCAACACTAACGGGTAAAACCGAGAAAGAATCAGATGAAGCCTAGTACTTGACAAAGCCAACATTCTGAGCTTTGCCCAGAACAGACTCAATGTCACCATGAAATAAGCTGAAATTTTTGGCCACGGCAAATCCAGCATACATTCCATCCACTGCTGCACTAATGATCCCACCAGCGTAACCTGCTCCTTCGCCAACCGGGTAAAGTCCTTTCAGAGAGGTGCTTTCATAAGTGTCAGCATTGCGTGGAATTTGGATAGGAGAACTGGTCCTAGTCTGGAGCGAAAAACATTGTGATGAAAAGACTGATAGCATAGAAGTGAAGACATGATAATATGTCTTCCAGAAATTTTCATTGCTAACTGCATATGGAACCAGGATCTGGTGAACCATTGTGTGCAGGCATGCTTGCATGTGTGTTATGGGGCAATTTAAAAAAGCATTTTCCCATTCTGATAAGATTGATATTATGGACACAGAAGCATCATAATACCAAGATTTAAAAAAAATGAAGAGAAAAGAAAAGTGAAAGCATATTATTACCTCTACACCATGAAGGAGTGCCTCTTTAGAGATAAATCCAGGTAACTGAAATGGGAGGTTCAGAAAATAGTGCTTGATAATTAGAATAGATAAACATCAAAAGGACATTCAAATATTAGAGTAGAAGGGCACAGATGTTGCCAACCTCCTTGTCAAATGCTACAATTGAATGCTGCAAAGCCTCAGTTACGTGCACCGGAAATAAATCATGAAGATTGGCTGCCTTTACGCCCAAACGATAACTTGATGGAGGCACCGATGTCACTGGCACAAACAAGTTAGCTAAGTTAAACTAAGATCTGAAAGTAATAAATAAAGGATAGAATTTGAAACATTTACCAGATAGCTTTCTTTCCAAAAAGTCTGTCACTGTCTGAACAGGCACCATAAAGTTTCCCCCTCCCATTATAGCAGCTCTTTGCTCAAAATCTTTCTGCAACAGTGATTCTGTAAGTTTAAACTAAGGACTCCGCTATATAGCTAGCAGATAAGGATAAATTATTTTGTATGTCACCACTATTGAAAAGAAAGAGGTTGAAGATTTTCAAATTATATAATTTGATTATTAGAGAATTAAAACATCACTTCTGGGTTTCAACATTAAGTTTGTTATGGTAACATGAACAAGAAAGTCCCATGATTTATTTTGCTTCACTTGGTAAAATATGAAACAGAAAATGAAAGAAATGATATTTATTTTTAAATCATTTTAAGAGCAGAAGAATAAAAAGCTTGAATTTTGCAAGACGTGCCTGAAATTCAACACCTGCGAGAGGTCCATAACAATTTAAAGCTTCAAAATCCTGCATTGTGACTGTCACCACAAGTGCAGCATTTGCCCACCTAGATGCTCGTCGAGAGAATGACATGCCATTGATGCATAGTTCAGATGGATTTGTACTAGTGAGAACAACCTACAAATTCCAAATATTCCATGGTAAAGTTCCAGTCAACTATATTCAACACATCAGGTATCATGTAAATTCAATATAATCAATAACAGTTTTGAGCTCCTAATCTTCTTAAGGCAACCAAAACACCCCCAACTCTGAATAAGAAATTTTCCATATCAGACCATTACAGTATGTGTTATGCACTGATACATGTAAAGTCAGGAAGGAAGTTAGTCTATTCTGACTAAGATGAAGACTAGACCAATAAATAAGCCTCATGTAATCCAATGTGGCTGTTGATGAAATAATACAGTTCTATATCATGTTATGATCAATCATATCATATTGAAGTTAAATGAGGAAACATACCTGACCACCTGGACACATGCAGAAAGAGTAGCAGCTACGATTAGCCACTCCAGAATTAGATAAATCATGACCATTCTCTTCGTGAATGTAGTTGGAAACTTTGTAATCTGCCACTGGTACTTTACCTCGCCCACTATGAACCTCAGAGGCCAATTCAGAATACTGAACACGAATATGAATAAATTTGTGTCATAATCGAACAGAAAAAGAAAATATATCATGAAGTTAAAAAGATTTGGTGATAAAATAAAGATTGTCTGCCAATAGCCCAATACATAGAAAGGTTCATAATTCATCATGTCCTGGAGCATGATGCTTGTCTTTTTTCTTCCCCTCATTAATGTCATAAACTTGAACAGTTGGCAGAACTAGAATTAACAAACTCATACAGGACCCCGTTCAAATCAGGAAAGCTGAAGTAAAAATTATTAAGGTATTCTCGTAAAAGTCACATCATGTCATAGGGAGAAAAAGAACACAAGAATGCGCACAAACAGCAAACCAAACTCCAGCTGAGGTATGTTTGAATTCTGCATACTGTGAAGGTGGGTGGGCAAGGCAGGGGGCTGTCAGCTTTTGATGCCCAAGCCTAAATCAGTATGAGAGTTTTTTAGTAATATTATTTTTAGGTTTCAATGTGATTAAAGATAGCCATCTCTTATAGAGAAGGAATATATTTGACGTGTAAAAAGTGGCTTTTCCTCAAATTTTCTCTAGCTCCTTGATGAGTCATTAATAATCACTGCATCTGAAATCTCAAACATCTATATCTCAAATTGCCATGCCTTGTCTACAAAATTCACTGGAGCAAATCAATGTAAAATATATTGCAAGTTCAACCAATGCAATAGGTGTTGGACCAAATTTGAATACGAACAAACCTGTATGCTGTTTATCAGTTCTTGAGGATGCTCAATCCGTAGCCCTACCTGTTAATCGGGAAAAAAAAATAAAAGAAAGAAAACAAGATGCATTATTTTCAAGACCAACACCACCATAATTGATAATATTATTCCAATAGAGAGAATAAGTTCATATGGGCCAACATATGGATGCCAGGGCAACAATTTACAACAACAAAATGGAAATGCTAACAAATTTTAGAAAACGCTGTTTCATCAGTTTACATATTGTAAACTAGCCCAAAAGAAATACTTTCTAGTAAGAGTTGTTGCAGTAGGTAATAGCATCTATTCTTCCATTTCCACAAACCCAAAAAGGAACCAGTGTCAATTCATCAAGGTTCTTGAAAATGGTAAAAAAATTGCAGAGCTCCCAACCAACCGCAATGATGTGATATATAGAAGCATCCAAATAAAAACAGTCCTCACTTGCACAGACATGTACAAGTTCCTCCATGCCAACGAAGTGTCAGCTAATTTCCTTGGAACCCAGCGTTTTGTCAAGTAATACTTGGGTATTATACCTCTATATTACATGATAGATCAACATTACCAGTACTGCTATACCAAAATAAGCACCAATTCTACTGTGTCAGCAGAATGTTGAACCCTTGAGTATCAAACTAGCCCCATCCCAAATGGAAGAGGTAAATGAAGCACCACAAAAACAACCCAAAATCACTCTTAAAGGAATCTCTTAAATGCGGAGGGAGAAGTGCTAACATTTTGGAATAGGCACAGAATCAGACAAAGTAAATTCATGCACATCCATAACCATCACAGTGCTAATAGATTGAAGTGCATATTGAAATATCACATCGATAGAGACTCACAGAAAAATCTTTTGGCTCCAAAACCACATCATGAGAAAGAAGCATTTGATATGTATCACGAGCAGAATGGCCAACAGCCAAAATAACAGCATCATATTCCACCTTCTGGCTGTTTGCTCGTAATCTATCAGCTGAGTCAGATACCATAACCCCCAGAACATGTCCATCTTCAATTATTAAATCATCCACTCTTGCTCCAAACTTGATTGAGACCTAAGCATCAAAACATCATTACTTGGTCATCACAGACAAGTACAAGAAGAGCCATTCCATATGCACATATTTTCAAAATATAAAGAGGCTAGTGCTAGGGATGAAACTAACGCCCAACTCTTGTAGATGTTGCCGAAAGTTGCGAAGCAATGGAACCAATCTATCTGTTCCTAAGTGAGGCTTTCCGTCAATCAATATGTTTTGTGGAGCTCCAAACTGCACTAGAGTTCTCATCACCTACAATGAAGACATTTAGTCAGCCATTCAATTAAGTCATATAAGTTGGGGAAAACAAAAATGAATAATGTATTGACGAGTAAAAAGAAAATTTTTATGTTTCAAACGGTATATGATAATGGGAACAGCAACAAAGACAGCAGACAAAGCCCTGAAAACTATTTAATGGTTTTGGCAGCGAAAAAACTAAATTTCACTTATACTGTTTCTCTAAAGGTACATGCCATAACTTTTACACCCATGAGAAACTATTAAAAATGCTGAAAGAGTACAAAGTTCATATATTAGTCTATCAACATAAACATAGGTTTGCTCTGCCCTTCTTTTTCAGATACATTTGACATGGTGCTAGAACCTTGTGATATGTTTTTATTGGTATCAACCCAGATTTGGATGCTCAAGTAGAATTTGGAGCATTCCGAAAACTTGCAGATCCAGCTAAAAGAAGACAAGTACCCTGATACAACATTGTTTTGTTCCTTTTAGACTTAATTTCCTTTTCTATTTGAATTTGACATAGGGAACCGAATAAATCTTGATTGAATTTCTTCCCTTTCTTTTATTCTTGCTCTTTCTTTTTCTTTCTCTAAGAGATGATCCCAAATAAATAGGTATAAAAGCTATAATTGTAAACCAAGATTAAATGCATGGTATCATTGGTTTATATTACTCTTAGTTTCTACTTTAGGAATCATTTTTTTAACTATTTTTTAGAGAACTACCTAATATATTTGGGTTTCAGAAAAACAACCAATATCATTTACCAAAAGACCTCACAAAAAAGGGGCTAGGTAGAGACATAAATAAAATGCACATATCTACTTCATAATGGAAGGCATCCACTAACCGCAAGAACACTGCCACTATTTCGTCCAATTCTAGTTACCAGTTTTCCATCACTCCAGGTACCTGCACCACCCTGTCACAAATAAGTCCTCGGTAAAGTGAATAAATAATGAAACTAACAAAAAGGAGAGAGCAAGATCATGAATGAGGCCAAGAACTAAGTCATCATTTGGTCCCCATGATGAATTTAATATGTATTTTAGAAGTTCTTAGGCGTGTGTGTCTGTGCATTCATAACAACTTAGATAACGTTATACATGAGGGTAATTAAGACATACTCTTTTTCCTGTTACAGAGAAAATTCACACTGTAGTAACAACAAACACAAATGGAACAACATAATACTCCAATATGCTTATTTTTTTGATTAATTTCTAATTTTGACAAGAATATGTCAATCTCTAAACAGCCGAAAGTAAAAGAAATAAATTGGATGACTTTGTAAGTAGTGTTAAAAAAATCTGTTATCCAGAACTCGGAAGCAAGGGTGATTTTGAATAAAACATTTATTAGATACCATGACAACAACAAAAATTTGAGGAAGTAAAGCAATATGCAAGGTACAACCTCCCCAAAGCAGAAGTTGCTTTCTGTTTCTAAAATTCGACGAACAACCAGAGCACCAATATCACGCCCCCTTTTTTCAACAGCTTGGCCTCTTTCAATCAATGTTACATCTGCACCAAGCTCCGCGAGAACAAGAGTAGCAAATAGACCTGAAGGTCCACCACCAACTACTGCAATTTTTGGCTTCCTGGTAGCTCGAATCTGGTACAAATCTCCTGAGCAAATGTTATTTCCATCTACATTGGTCACTACACTTTCATTATTATCTTTGTGATCATGTATTACACTCATCAAATCACCAAAAACTCTTCCATAATGCATGTGCTCTACAAGGCCAACTTTAGGCTCTAGCTGAGAAATGAAGTCCCAAGTTCGAGGCTCTAGATCGAGGAGTTTTTTTACATCCATGTCCACAGTATGCACAAATTTGGGCTCCTTTAATTTCTAAAAGGAATCAATGAAACAGAATAAGTGTACTTCACAATCAATAGCCTTCTATTGCAACCTGAAAACAGATGAGGCAATGTTCCACGATATGAAAAGTCAAATAATTAATTCAAAATTTCAGTCCACCTGAGTATACAGGCAGGCCTTCACATAGTCTGTATGGCATTCATGTTTCGTATTTTGCATTTCATCCATATAGATGCATGATTGTGTGCCACAAAAGTAAAACTAATATACATACACATGAACTCTAGAAATCTGAAGCTCTGAAAGGTATAATACCCATAACTAATTACTGGTGAAAAACCAATAATCAAGTAAAATCTAAATGAACTAAAACAAGGAGAAGAGAGTTCAAAATTATTCTTGCAGGTAAATGCAACATAAAGAGCACATATTTTCATTAAAAAACTAGCTCATGACAAAGTTATAGGCCTAGTTATTTTAAAAAAAAAAGTTATAAGCTTACAAAGTTTGCAGTCACTAAAGCACCCTCGCCATGTATTAATTTCATGCTCAAGATTCTTTTTTAATGATTAATTTAGGAAGAAAAATAACCCAATACACACATCTATGGGCCAGTGCTGCATTGAACAAAACAAACCTTCCTAGCGTCAAATGATTTCCGAACAACCGAGAAAGCTTCGCGCGGTAACAGTGAACCAACCTGGCACGAGAATTGAAAATTGAATGTTACCACACTTTAATCTTTCGAATGCTTCCACTTCACTGAGGTTTAAAGAAAAACAAATATAACAACGGTAAATAAAGTACTGCACAAGACAAGAGCATGAATTGACCGAGAAGATACCATATATTAAAACTACGCAAAAGAACTTCGCAGAGTAGTGTTTATCCGACACAGGGAGAGCCCCTAAGGATTTCACATTTTTTATTTTTCATTGACCCAAACAGAAAAAAGGCACTCTCGAAAACTCAGAACTTACCGGGAACTCAATAGCTTTGGCAATTTCTTCAAGAAGCCCATCTGAAACATCGAGAAAATCCTTGCCGGGATCCCTATCAACTGGAACCCCGAGCTTGTAAAGCCTCCATGTGCCCTCAAACTTATTCTTGTCCTTCAAATCTTTGATAATTTCTTTATGCTTGGATTTTAGTTTCTTCTTCTCCGATGGGTACCTCTGCTTGCCGGTTCTCTTAGCGGAGAGGATACGGAGCGTTTGGCGACCAGCACAAGGAAACCTTGTCACGGGATTAGGAGGAGGTTGAAAGTAAAAATCAATAAGCTTGGGTGGAACGAAAGGGGAAGAATGTGCATGGCTGGTAAGACTACCGAGAAGCAGCACTGAGCGAGGCTGCAAAATTATGAAGTAGGATAAGAGTCTCGGAATCGGACTCACCGTGATGGCGCTCGTCGATTCCATTAAAACTTTGGTGAAATGACAATAAAATTTTTTTAAATTGTATAAATGATAAAATAATTCCTTAAAATCATAATTTTATTAAAATTTATAACAACTTTTATATAATTATTGATTAATGAATTTATATAAATAAATAAATTATTTTTATAGTAATATCAGAAAGTTAACATATAAAGTTATAATTTTTGTTGCACCATTACAAATATAAAAAATAAAATTATGATTATTTAAATAAAATTTATAATTAATATTTATTATTTTTAACACTTGTAATAATAATAAAAATTTGATATATAAAGTTATATTTTATTATTGTATTATATATATAAAAAAATTATAATTATTTAAATAAAATTTATAATCATTTTTTATTATTTTCAACACTCGTAAGTAACAATGTTAATAATTTGATATAAGATTAATAATTATTGTATTGTTATAAATATAAAAAAATTATAATTATTTAAATAAAATTTATCATTATTTTATTTTTAATAAAAGTAATATAATTATTTATATAAATTCATTTTTTATAAAAAAATTTTAAAAATTTTAATAGAATTATAATATAAAAATTTTCAATATATATTTTAAATTTTTATCATCATTTTTTTTTTTGCTTTTCCTACCATTATCTTTTGTATTTTGCTGCCACATTGATGGTTAAACATTTGATAGTTTTTTTTTTCATTGGCAGAAAACATTTTGTAGTATTTTTTTAATATTAATGATAGCTTGTTAACATTTTATTGGACCATCTGACCACGATAACAACAGGAACATCCATCCCTCAATTTAAATAATTATAAATATAAAAGGTTTGGTAATAAATTTAAATTTTATAAATCATTTATAATACTTTACAATTAATACTTTTATATTTACAACTATACGAAGCTGCGTAAAATTTTTGAGACCCAGCTACATTTTAATTAATATTTTGGAACTTAATTAATTTCCGCTTGCAAATGCATATATGTCCTAGATAAAAAAATTAATAAATTCTGTTCACTTGTAAATATCAAAAGCTAACATATGAATACAGACATTTGACTTGTAAAGAGACTGAGAAAATAATTAATTTTCTTATTTAGGACTTGATTATAATTCTCTAGTTATAAAACTTAGAAGCAACCATGGACCATCATTGAGGGAAACAAGAAGTAAAAACAGAGACGATGAGGAACATTGTAAACCTCCAAGAAGGAAAGCACCCACATACTCAAGTGGGAAAACTCTCCTCCAACGACTCCCACAATCACATTGTGGTTCCTAAATTTGAAACATACTGTATCACTATAAAGCCGCTCAGTGTCACTAAATCCAATTCAATTTCTTAATATTTAAACGCAGAACTAAGACTACTTCATACCATTTACATGCCAGTCGTCTAAAGCCAGAAGGAAGAAATGCTGAGAAAAACTTGCTAATCACATCACACGAGTTTAAGGGTGAAAGACGGTATCTCAAGGCACAAAGGAACTTCACAAATAGCATCTTGATTGGATTAACTGAATAGTACTGAAGGATCATAACAGAAAGTTTTCACCTAAAGCAGTAACAAAAAATCTAGTTTAATGGTTGGCTTAACAAAATGCTGCTGGTTGGTGGTGTGAGGTATGAGTGAGTGAGCCTTTTGCTGCAGCACTATGGCTCTACCAATTCGCGCCATCTGAATCCCGTGACGGGTAGAAATCATTTGGGTTCACAATGTTGACCTCCTCAAACTCATTGTCATCTACAACAAAAGGACAAAACCCTCAATATGTTCTTCCACATGAAGGTGAAATAGAAGTATAGACAATTGTGAAATGGTCTTTGCAGATGTACTGGATAAGTCTTTATTTCTCATTTTTGTGCAATGTCTTGTCTAATATGTCCATGTCTAATTATTATATCTTTGCATGCATGGGTACTATTTAAACAGAAACTCAGAAAAAGAGAAACAGGACTGTCTCAAGAAAGACCATCATGTCATCTAAGAAATTTTATCAACTAATCATGTCAACCTATAAAAGATTATTCCCCGATATATGTAAATTACACCTTGAAAACAACAGAAAGTGTAGTTCCATGAAGGAACCAGTCTGATCAGCGCAGCTCAGCACTACATCCCTTGCATATGGTGAAAAAGTTTTTGAACAGAGACAACAATTTCCCACCAGAGGCCAGGCATATATTTTTAATACATTGGAAATCAATTTTGTATTAATGGTGGTAGTGCGGCACTTAAGTCCTCAACAATGATTTTACAATATGTTATACAGATAACAGTTCAGGTGTAAGCAACCATATGATGCTGATGCCAATTGCTAAATTAATTTATTTTCATTCCCCCTCTCTCTCCCTCTCTCTGTTGTTTTTTAGCATGCACCCTTGGAGTAAGTGTATGACTAAACTGAAACTTTGTTTTACTGCAAAAGTTGACAAGAACATATTTGTGGCTCACAGATGTATTAAGAGAGGAAGGTTAGCTCTAAATTGCTATTAACTGTTTATACAGGACAATTATTATGATATCAGACAAGGATGTCAGGATAAAAAAATAAATCTACAACTAACTAGAACCAGAAGGAGATTTTGCAAGCAATTGCCCAATTCAGAAGTCAGAAACAGGACTTTGATGCGATAATTAAAAGGAAAATACTTGTTAAGTTCATGCTAGCATATCGTTTTAAGTTTTCCCTTAGTTGACTTTTCTCTCCTCTTTTCCATAGATTTAAAAAGAAAAATGTAACACGGCCACAAAAGAAAAGTTCCACTATCTTCCCATAGACTTCTCCCAACTAAAAGGAGCCTAACACAGCCAATCTTTTGAAGTCTGACAAATGGATTAATTAACAAAAATTTAAAATAAAATGATGACAGGCATATCGGGAGGGATGGATTGGTAAAGGTAAGACAAATACCTTTCCTCAATGTCAGTGCTACAATAGCATCATTTTCAACCTGAACATGAAATGAAGTTGTTGGAATTTGTTGACAATTATTACAACACATAGTCATATAATGAGCACAAAGGCTTTCATGGGTAAAGATGTTAAAAATGAGTGAAATAAAGGAACCAGAGAGAGTAAGGTGACCTAAATGCTGGTATTTCAAGAAACATACAAAGAAAAAACCACCCAAGGCACGTCACAGTATACCTTTTGGTCAGCCAGTGTCTTTGAGTCATCTAATACTTCACCTGTACCAGGTAGAATTAATCTCTGATTATTAACAGGCTGCTCAATGAGTTCTTCCAAGTTCTGCTTTATGTCAAGAATTTTATCAGATGGCTTGCACCGGATGAAGTATGTTGTCTTATTACGCTTAACACGAATGTACATATCCTATTGTGCAACCACAGTCCACATCAGTCATAAATTTTGAACAAGCATGAAAGATACATATGCGTAATCATAGGTTCTACGAAGGATTATGCAATAAATGGAGACAGGGCCCTATTTATGAGTGAGATTAGCATTAAAATAGCATCCAACTCTCAACCCATCTTAGAATATTAGCAGTTTTATGGTCTAAAACCATGTTAACAAGTATCGTGGCACCTCTAAAACCTTTTAAAGAAATCATATAATTGTCTAGCTCAGAAAGACAGACAACAGTCATTTTCGGATGCAAACCCAAAGAACTACTTCATATCAAAATTTTAACAAAAGTACCAGACTAATTAAGCTCCTATCGTCATGATTTAATCAAATTTTAAGCAAGCTGTAGGCATAAGCATGTTAAAATATGAAAGAATTTGGATCACTCTCTATTATTAAATCCAAGACTTATCTCAACGATCCAAACCAACACAAGGTTTGAAATGGTAATTTTACACATGTATAATTCATGCCACCAACCCCAAAAAAAAAAAAAAATCTCATGACAGAATTAGAAGCACATTTTAATATATAACATAAGCAAAGTACATTTTACATCTTTTACAACCATTTTTATGACTTTGCCTCATACCGTAAAGGCATAAACTGATTCTTGCATGTATTATACTCCGCATACTCTACCACAAACTCTCATTGACCCATAGTAAAAACAAAGCCACTGACTTTCCAGATATCAAAACTCATAGCAATGTTAGGTAGTTAATGACGACATGGAAATGGATCTGAAAGGAGTGCAATGGAATGGAATGGCAAAATATGTTGCATTCTACTATTTGAGAGTTCACTGAAGATTGGTGTTTTGTAATTTGAATATATGTCCCGATATTGAAGGACACAAAAATTGGTGTTCTGAATGGCAAAGAGGGGTCGTAAAGGCCATCCTATATTCATTATATTTTTGAATGGTCCTAAATAATGACTTAACCCACTTTAGCCATTGCACTCCATCACTTGCAATCCATCCAAACCCTACATTAATACATTTGAAAGGTTAAGAGCAACTTTCCAATTCCACAAGATTACTTGAGAAGTCAACCAACCTCACGTGTTCTATTTATGCTACAAATAAGCCAACTAAATAAATAGAATTCTCCAATCCGAATGCAAAGTGAAAATTGTAATTTCCAGCACATGTTTCCAGCAAGCACTAATTGCCACTGCCCACCAGCTTTCTCCAAGACCATAAACAGATTAAGAATTCAACTTGATCACCCTCAGGGCCTTTAAAACGTTGACATGAACAACTTTGATTCGAAGGAAAGCAACCGAAATAAGTAATAAGCATAGCCGCATACCATTTATCTCGTTTCCGTTGCTCCTCCTGGGCAAGGAAAATTTACAGGCCCTGCAATCCCCCAAAAAAAAAAAGCGGAACAAAAAAATCGAGACAGTGAAAAGATTTTACCCAGTGAATTAAAAGAACTTTGGAACCATTCTTCAGACTAGAATTTCGGCATGACGAGAACTTGGTGGGGACGACTAACTTCGATTTGTGAAAATAACTTGACGGGAATAAATGAAATGAGCAATTGTGGCGCACAGAGAAAACAAAAAGAAAGGGAAAGTGGAGAAGAGGTCGAAGAACACGATTCCTACCTTCGCCTTCTCGGGAAGAGCTAGTCCTGTCAGATTCCGCAGACGCACGGGTTCTTCACGAGTTCAGAGAGACGACTTGGTCAACACCTCACGTTTCGTCAGTGTACAATTTTATTTTTTTTTTGGGTAGAAAATGTACAATAATTTAATTAATTCTAATTTATACCTGTCGATAAAAAAATATATTATATAATATATTATTTTTTTATTTAAAAATATAAAGTATTTAAAATTAAATTCCATCCTGATAAAATAAAAATTTATTTTTAAATGAATACTGTCTTTTCACATGTATTATTATTTAATAAGGTATTTTATTTTAAAATAAATATAAAATAATTTATTTATTAAAAATATAATTAAAAAATAATGATTATATTTTAAAATATTAAATATTTTATATTTTTTAATGTTTAAATTCTAAATTTTTAAAAAATATTTTATATTATGTGAATAGATAGATCCTTGATTTGTCGTTACTTCAATGGATATTATTTGGTGTTAGCGAAGAAGACTATAGCCTATAGATACAAAGAACATATAAGAGTGTCATAGGTCCTGCTTAGTAACCTGCTTTATAAATAATTTTTTGTTTTTTAAAATAAAAATAAAAAAATTTGTTTAATAATATGTTTTTAAAAAATATTTTAAAAAAATAAAATATTATTTTAAAAATAAAAAAAAAAAAAACATCTTTTAAATGTTATGAGATTATTATTGTTTTAGAGAAAAAAAATAAAAATATTTATTTTTATTACTTTTTTATTTTTATTTTTACAAAATATTATTTTTAAAATAATAAAATAAATATAATTTTAAATAAATTCATAAATTTGCAGTGCAGGAGTGACAGGTGGAGATAAATATGCCAATAAACTAGATTTATTCCCACGTAATATGCGGAATGTTTTAATATTAAAACAAAACTGACCAGATAATTTATTTTTGTACCCTCAAAATAACATTTTTTATTGGCAGAAAAGGCTATAAAGACAGTGAATGGATGACAGTATTATAAAGTTGTCAATGTGGCAGCCACAGATGGAAATAAATATACCAGTAAATTCGCAAACCTCCCATAAGTCATAAAAACAAACTATAGATACATACATATATATAACCAAATAAAATATGAAATAAAGTGCAAGATTGGAACATCATCATCAGTTTTCTAGTTTAATTAGTTTTTTTTCCCTCTCCTTTTGATATCCTAAATCTTTGATTAAAGAATACTCTCCATTGACAAAAATATAAGGTATTGATGACTGATTTAAAAAAAAAAAGTGAGTTGAAGCTTTAATTTCTTAAAAAATTATATCTTTTTAATTTTACTATCATTATCTTATATGAATGTCTTGATAGAAATAATTAAAATTTCAATGCATATTTTTCAAAAAGAACAATAAATAAAGTAGGAGTATATTTAAAAAAACAATTATAAGAGTTGCCCAATGCTTCATATTTTAGACCGAGCAAGATTTTTTTAAAAAATATCCTATATTATATTTTCTCTATTTAAAAATATAAGATATTTTTTGATAAGTTGTATGTTAAAAAATGCATGACATTTTTAATATTTTAAAGTATAATTATTCCTTTTTTTTTAAAAACTACCCCTATTAAATAGAGGGTGAATATGAAAATATATGATTAATTTAAACATAAATAATTATTTGATTGAGATAAAATTTTATTAAAAGTGTCTTATATTTTTTAATAAAAAAAATAATTCAATTAACAACTTGCAGGTGCCTCTTTGAAAATATATATCATATCAAGAATGTAGTTGCAGCTGATGCGCTGCATAGCAAGAAATCAAAATCAAGACTTCTAATTAAGAGGGACCAGCACCTTCTTAGCTAATCCAAATGAATGGTCAAAAGAAATTGACCAAAATTAGCTAGGTTGATAAAAATAGTCTCTAATTATTAATTAATGAGAATATGACCCATACTTCATAGGAATGTGAATTTGAATCTCATTAATATATACATACATGCACACACACACACACATATATGTGTGTGCATATTCAACTGATCAAAAATTTAGATGGCTTAAGTTTTTTAAATTTTTTAAAATTAGAACATATCTTAAGATTCAAAGGATGTTGAAAAAAATATTTGCAAATCATCCATTAACAATTTTTTATACTAAGGATGAGATTCAAACTCAGGTTATTTCAAGATAGGAATCTTGTCCTTACAAACTAGATGAACTTTGGTCAGCTTATCCATGTAACAACCTTGTTGCTAAATAAATAACAAGTACCTTAATAATAGGTGTTTTTTTAAGTCGTGAGATATTTTATAATCCTGGGGAACTGTGCATGGTAACCCAATACACCCAAACCCTAACACTTTTCACGTGTCCCTGTGAAATAATTAGGGGAAAAACATTGGGTCCTCTATGGGTTTATCAAGCTGGGATGTAGGGCCCATACAAATGAAAGGCTCACTGATCAAGTCGGTCAAGGCCAACACATCAATCAATTTTTAATTAAATCAAATTGATCTAAAGCCCCTTGGGCTACATGCGGACTATGTTCGGCCGAACACCTCAAGCGTTAATTTAAGCACAGCAAATTAAAGTTCACTCTTGTGTCATCTGTTAAAGACACTTGGATTGCCTTCTATCTAAGTTAGATTTAAAATTAATGGTGTCACCACAAAGTCAATGTGAGGAACCAAATCAATAAATCACTCTGTCAATATACTATCTTCTAGAACTTACTTTATGTATTTAACTTTATATATTTAAAATATTATATTTAGTTACTGTTTATTTGAGGCAAAAAAAAGTTTACTGTTTCTTAAAAAAATATTTGACTCGTGTTTTACTAAAATTAATGATTACAGTGTTTAAGAATAATATTTTGGTGTAATTAAAGAAGAATAATATTAAACAAATTATTCCATCCATTTAAAAAAATAAAATATTTTTAATCAAATCTCATCCTCAATAAAGTAGTTACTTATTTTTAAACTAACTCTATCTTTTCATATTTATCTCTATTTAATATAGTATTTCATCCTAAAAAAATATAAAGTGATATATTCAATAGGGGTATTTAAAAAAAGTAATAATTACACCTTAAAAATATCTTACATTTTCAAACATTTAATTTCTCAAAAATATTTATATTTTTTAACAAAGAGTATACTCCATCCAAACTTTAATGCAAAGTAAAGTTAATAAATTTTGTGTTTATAAATATTAGTAGTTATTAGATATCAGTTGTATCCTTAAAATTGTAAAATATATATTCAATATAGAATATTTTTTTTAGGGTTAGATGTTTAAAAAAAAAATAATTTTAGTTTCAATTTGTAATTAATAATTTGTAAAAAAATCTTAATAAATAAACTACTAAATTCTTCATCCAAGACCGCATAGTAAATAAAGGCAAAGATGATGTCAATTTAAAAACAATTAACTCACTTGTTAAAAATGTAACTTGATTAGAAATAATTTGCATTTATCAAAAAAGGAGTAAATGAGAGTAAAATTAAAAATATGAGTAATTACTCCAATTTTAATTTATTTTAAAGAAAAAAAGCTTCCAAATTTTACATTATATCAAGGATAAGGGAGTACATTTTTGTCTTACATTTTAGATTAAATAAAATTTTAAAATTTTTCCTACATTTAAGAGTATTTATAAATTTATAAAAAAAATCGCACAATGATGCCCACTCTAGCTATTCAAATGCAAAAACTAATTTAAAATATAAATAAATAAATTACAGGGATATAATTTTTTTTCATTTTTTATGAGTATTTTTTAATTAGAGTTAATATTATTTAAAGTATTATCGGATATTAAATATAGGCATCTTTTTAAATAAAAATTTTAATTTTAATTTTTCATATAGTAGACCTTTTGATTAGATTCAATTCTATCAATTAGGGATACGATTTCTAACAAAACATGAGCCCATTAATTATGAAAATGAAATTTCATAGCACTTTTTTCTACAGAGAAATTTTATTAAAGTTCATTAGATGTGATATAATTTTAATCAGATCTCAAAAGATTTTCAAATTTTACTATAAATCTAGAGCATTAAAATCAAATAAATTCTATTATTTGAATGATCAAAATATCATTTAATTATAATTAACATTATCGACATAACAAGTTAACTTATGACTTTTACAAATAATATTAGAAAAATAATAAGTTAAGTTATATGTTTTATAAGTAACATTAATTACTTCTTATTATTATTGTAATATTATTTATAAAAATTATAACTTAATTTATTATTTTAATAATATTATTTGTAAAAATTATAACTTGATTTGCTGTCATAACAATGTTATTTGTAAAAATCATAATTCAACTTGCTATTTTAGTTATATTACTTGTAAAAGCTATAACTTACTAACTTAATTTATTATTATAATGATAGTATTTGTAAAATATAAATTAACTTATTATTTTAATAATATTACTGATAAAAATTATAATTTAATTTTTATTTTAATAATATTAATTATAATTGAAGGATATTTTTAAACATTTATATAACAGAATTTATTTCAAGTTTTCAACAAATCTACCGTAAAATTCCAAAATTTCTGGGACCCTATTAAAATTGTGTCCACATCGGACTTTAATGAAATCATCCCCTTTTCTATTTTCGCGATCGACTCGCACAGAGTAGTTAAGCGCTCATAACTACTCTTCACGGAAACGGTTTCACTGTTTCGTCATCGTCTTCTCCACAGCCACGATGGGCAACTCTTCCTCTATGCTCACGCAGTACGACATTGAAGAGGTCCAGGAACACTGTAACCACACATGTAATTCACCATTCTACGACAATCTTCACGAACCTCCCTTCCTTTCTTTCTTTTTTGTTCGGTTTGCTTAATTTTTGTTCCTTGAGCATAGTAATTGATTTTGATTTCGGTGAAGTCACGCAGCAGGAGATAGTTTCTTTGTACCAGAGGTTCTGTCAGCTTGATCGTAACAGCTGCGGATTTATTTCTTCTGATGAGTTTCTGTCTGTTCCGGAATTCGCCGTTAATCCTCTCTCTCAGGTTTCTTTCCCTAAATCCTTTTTCTTCAATTGCGATCGAATATAATGGTCCATTGAAGATTAAATGATATGTTAAGTTTCGCAGAGATTGTTGAAGATGCTGTATGGATTGAATTTCAAGGAATTCGTGGCTTTCTTGTCTGCATTCAGTCCTCGTGCAACCTTAGAAAACAAAATTGAGTGTAATGAATATCTCTGAGACCCACAAAAGTGCATTCGAATTATCGAATATAAAGCGATTGACTGATTAAGTGATTATTATACTTTCTACGATTGAATTATTATCTACGTGCTGTTTGTTTTTTTAGTTATTTTTAAGGTATACGACACAGACTGCAATGGAAAAGTTTCATACAATGACATGCTGGACGTTTTGCGGGATTTGACTGGACAATTTATATCTGAACAACAGAGAGAGGTGAAATATTATTAGACCTATTCTTCTATGTATTTGTTCTCTTTTCTCTAAACTTATTTGGTGTAAAAAATGAACAATCCTTTTAAAAACACCTTTATAATTATTTACAAAAGAGAACGAGTGTGCTTCCATGTTGCATTATTTTGATCAGTCAAGTTTATCATCGAGTCTATTATATGACATAAGGGGGGGTGGGGAAATCCTGGAACTTTTGTCTGCCACTTCTTGTCCATGGAAGAGTTTTTGAAATTGATTAATTAGGGGATAAAAAGTACCAATAAAACTGGATATATAAAGACTAAAGGACTAGGGACCACAATAAAGACTGGCACACTGATAAGGTAGAACTAAAAGCAAACGTGAGCACGTAGCTTTAAAATGTGGTAAATCTTTCCCTCGAAGCTTGGCCACAGTTACCTTTCTATGATTCTGAATTTCGAGATCTGATCGTAGTTCTCTTTGCCAATACAGAGCAAAGAATGTCAAACTGTATTGTGTGTCTTTAATTTGTTATTACACTGACAAAAGAAGAGAAGTAAATGCAGTTTAAGCATAGAAAAATACTTATCTGAAGTGCATCAGCCCATTGAAAATGCTTACATGAGATTGAAAATTGATTTGACTTAAAAAAAAAAGGAGGTTGTGAATTGAAATTTCTAGGGGGATTTCAGTATGCATTTCAATTGCCGAAGTTCAATAAGGATGATTATGTTTTGATGCTGATTGCTCTATTTTTTTGCATTCGGTTCCTTAAATTGATACAGCAAGTACTGACACAAGTCCTTGAGGAAGCAGGCTATAAAAAGAATTCTTTGTTAGTCTTGTCTGACTTCAAGAAGGTACTAAAACAATTAAAACCTACCATGACTAGCAGCAGTACTTTTGTCACAAGTTAAACTTCTTTCCCAACTTATATATTAACGTGCTACCTTTAGCATCCTATTGTATGGCTTCTTACTACTGTTGTGCTCATGTAATCATGTTTGTTTGTATCATCAAATCAAAGGCATAAAAAAGCTTTGATGAATAGTTATCAAAGGCAGGCTAGGGCGCACGGGCAGAGTTCCTAGTAATAACCCAAGGAAACAATATTTTGAGGATGATCTTGAATGGGATTTCCATTTGTTGATCTCTCGTCATAGTTAGCATGTAAAGTTGTCTATATTGTTGCTTATTCTCAAGGTCATACTTTTGGACGCGGAAACCATACTTCCACTGTCAATTTCATGGATCGTCGCAAGTTAAAATGTTAAATCAACTTCAATTTTCTTCTGGCAGTCATAAAATAGCGTGAAAGTGATGGGCTTGGTTTATTTGTCTTGCGTTTCTCTTCATTATGATTCCACTGTTATTCTAAACAGTGTGTATTAATATATATTTTTACAAACTATCAAATCTAAATTATTAAATTCAATCAAATGATCTACATTTTCCGTAATTTCTCCAATTAACGGAGAGAAACTACTTCCTAAGTGATGCCTATCTTTGTCAATAGGCATGATATTATCATTCATGACAGTTGAGGATAACGGTTGCGAATATATGTATGGCTAGGTTTATTGCAATGTACCGAGCTCATCCTCTCATGCTCCTGCTTCCTGCTTGATTTATGTATATACTATATATTTTGGCCAGGGCTTCCTGCTTTAATTTTTTTTGGAGACCAATTCCTGCCTGATGTTTTAATGTCTAATTTCTTTCATACGGATAGTACATGATTGATATTTGATATATTGTTTTCTAATAACAGATCCTTGGCAACTCAGGTTTGAAGATGGAAGTTGAGGTTCATGTGGATTAGAATGAGAATACTAGTTGTCATTGATTTCTCTAGTATATACTACATGCAGTCAAACAATCCTGATTCATTAGTTTGAAGTAGTGCTGTTTTTGTTGTTTCTTGATCCTCATGTTTATTTTGTACTTACTCTAGCGGTAATAGTATTAATACGGATTTTGAATATGTAAATATTCATTTTTCATTAACTTATTTAATGGCGTTGTGAAATAGAAAATTTTTGATCGTGCCTACAAAGTTTAAGGATTAACATAAAATTTAACAAAATTAAATGATTAAAATGAAAGTTATAGAAAATTAAGGGATATTAAACCTATATAATTGATAAAAAAAATTACTCCCATGTATTATATGATAGATATAAAAGTTTTACAGGTTTTTTAATGTCTTCGTTCTTTTTGCCAACGTTATTTTAATTTCTTTGCTTGTGATTAAAAAAAATTTAATACGTTCTAACTTACTAATCGTGGTAGTGTTTTAAGAATTGGATTGAATTGGCAGACTGTTGACCGGATATGCTAATAGTTCGACTTGAACTAGAAAATAAGTAGAGCAGAACTTGGAATGGTTTATGAAAATCGGGCGAGTTTGGATCTAATATTAAAAAGGGTTAAAAAAATTTGAAAAATTAAAAGTTTGGACACTTTAGAAAGCCCATTTTATTTTTACACTCTTTACATATAGTGTTTGATATAATTTGAGATTATTTTTCTAGAAACATGTTGACTGATATAATGTAAATACAAATACTTTTTTATTTATATTTAGCTTAATCAAAATCCACCTTTGCTTAACAAATCATGAAATTATAACTTATAATGTTCGTTGATTTTATGATCTTGTGTTATTTTATTAACCACTAGAGATATAACTAATTCATTTTTTATAATATTTATTATATACGTTTAATATTTTTTATTTAATTTTATAATATCGGTTCAACAATGTGTGCAATCAATTGAATTGGGAAAACTGAGACTTGTTAATATTTTAATTTGAATTTGATATGACTTTTAATACATTAGCTTCTCATGGGTAACATAAATTAGGGCTATGCATAATGTCCAACAGTCCGGTATGTCTGGCCCAGCCTGAGGTGAAAAATGCCCAGCCCGAACCTAAAAAAACTTGCCCGAGATTGATTGGGCATGGTCGGGCTTAGCTTGATTTTTGAGTTAAGCAGGGTTTAGGGTTAGAGTATCCAACCAATTGACTTCCCAACCCGAGGTTTAATTATTTTTTAAAAATTATTAATATATAATGTCATTTTGTAAATTGATGAGGGCATAAATGAAAAATAAAAATATTAAAACCCTAAGACCTGACTCAAATATGAAATTGAAACACCTGAACAAGACCATTCGTTCGATCTGCGCCTCTCTTATTTTGATCTCTCTTGCTCCACCTCGTCTCATCTCCAATCTCTCTCACTCAATTAGGGCAGGGTCGTCTCATCTGGTCGCTGCTCCATCTCTGATCAAGTTCGTCTCCCTCTCTTAATCACCACTTTGTTCCGATCAAGTTCATCTCCCTCTCTCAGCCACCCCATCTTGAAGCTTCTTTATCTCCAATCGCCACTTGCCACTCTCTCTTGCTCTAGTTTGTCTTCGATCACCACTGTCTCTTGTTCGAGCTCGTATTCGATTGCCTTAGCTCCAAAGCCCGTATCTGGCTTGTTTCTCTTTCTTTGTTAGATATTTGTTTTGGTTAAAATCGAAATTATCTACTGTCTATTGGTTTTGTTGATGTTTTGGTTAATTCTTATTCTTTTATTTTAGGTTGTTTATGGTTCAACCTTAAAGGAGGAAGAAGAATGGATGATGGTGTAGGAATCAGGGAATTTGCTATCTCAAACTTTATAATTTATATTTAACTTGTGTAGTGTTCATGGATGTATTGTTTTTCAATTGATTGGCTTGATTGAGGAAATTTCATTTTATTTGTATGAATTAGATTTTATTTAGGTTTGTTTATTTCTTGTCTAAATTACTTTGAGCCCATTACTTGTTGTTGGACATGGTTTGTTAGTGGCTATTATGAACCCAATCTTAATATATTTTGGTTCAATGAAGGCTTTCAAGTGCCTAAAAAAGGACAGTTTTGGACATGTAGCCCGAGGGCCTGATCCCTGCTCGACCTTGCCCATCCAATCCCTCCAAGAATGGGCCTCTTTTGGATAGGGTCGGACTTTGGGCATGATTTTTTTGCTCGAACACAATTAGGGTAGGGCACCGAGTTAGGGGGCTGCCTTACCCAATCCTGCCTATGCGCAGCCCTAACACAAATTTACTAAAGATATAATAATTAATTCTTTCGTTAAAAAATATAAAGTAGATTTTAAAAGGTTAATGTTAAAAAATACAATATTAGTATTTTAAGATGTAATTATTATATTTTTTAAAAAATTTTATAATAAATAAATTATTTTATATTTATTTTATAGTGAAATAATATATTAAATAAAAATAAATATAAAATATAATATTAATTTAAAAATAAATAATTATTTTATTAAAATAAAATTTAATTAAAAATATTTTATATTTTTCAACGGAGAAGTGTATATTATATAATTTTTATAATAAGTTGTTTAACATAATATGATTGGATTTTTGGGAGACTTTTCGAACGTAAAAATTGCATCCAAGCTAAGCGTAATGCTAGATATGCTGCGTAACTCTTGCATTAATTTGGGATTATCACGTCCCTTCCTTACATGATAGTTTTTCGTTTCAGTAAAACCGTCAGCGTTTCCATCGCTCCCATTCTTGTCTTCCTTTCGTTTCTTCTAGCATTCTGTCGTGAAACTGAATCTAATACATGGCTCCAAGGAGTATATTATGATAGTTCGCTTCTTCATCACCTGGACGGTTCGTCGTCCATGTGGAAGTTTGACTTGAGTGATCCTTTATTTGACTATTTTATTCTAGGGGTCGGCACAGCATCAGCATGGTTGTGTCTGGACCTGTTTAAAATAAGCCTCGGTGATCGATCCCATAACTTGAGGACTAAGGCAAAGGAAATCTTAAGCGAAAGAAAACAAGGTTTTTGTTAGTTATGGAGACACAAAACCCACAGTACTTTTCTGGATTTTTCCAACCAGAAGGTTTTCTTCTTTTTTACCCTTTTGTCGTGTTTATCTTCGTTTCTGGGTCCCATTTTGGTGTGAATGACAGAGCACTTTGAGCGAATTTTGCAGAAGGGTGGTGACTTGAAAAGGAAATGGATCAAATCGAAAGATTCCAGATGTTAAGTATCCGTGTGCTTCGGAATCCGCCAAAAAGAAGGTAGATTTGGTTTTCAATCCTTTTTTTTTCCCCTCACTCTTTGATATGATTCTTTCTCTGTACACACGTATCATTACTATTCCCTCATTTTCTTCGCTTCTTTCCTCTCTTTTCTCGCGAACCAAACAGATTTACTGGCGCTTCTGAAAGAGCAAATTCCTTTCAACAGAACCCAAGTTTTACTCTTTTATTCCGATTCCTATAATAGCTGATTTTTTTTTCATTGGTTTTTATCTGCGTTAAAGATCATATCTGTTTCCGATCACCAGATACTTTCCCTTTCCTCTCGGGGCGATCGATGGTGAAAGTTGGTCCTCCTCACTTAATGTTGTCTGAAACTTTTGGATCTGATCGTGCCATGATTTTTGTTCTACGCGAGGTTTTCCTAAAGGTAAGGTCAATGAACTGTTTCCGAGACACAGCACATGGACATGCCGTTTTTTTTTGGGCCCCTCTCCCTAAAAAAAAAAAAAGAACTTTATAAGATTTGTGTGTATTAGTGTCATCATTTTATATTTTTTTTTTCGGAAATATTGACACTCTCAACTCTCAACCACACACTGCCTGCCAATTGTCCTTTTTTTTTTTTTTTTGAGATTGCAAGGCAAGCCCGCGTCTTGAAAGAAGAAAAAATAAAGGAGCAACAAACTAAGCCACTATTGGACTCTCCTCAAACACACTGCCACTCGTCAAATACTCATGCTAGACTTCAATAAGACAGACACTTTACTGTATTTTGTATGGTCTGGGACACTCTCCACACTTGAGGGGGGCTCTGCTAACATTGCATAGTTATGGATTTTAGTCTTTTTAGTATTTTGATTACCAAGATGTGAGATGTCGGTTGTCACACACCCACATGCCGCTGTGTTTTCTAAAATCATTAAAACAACCACGTCATTTTAAGTTGTAACTTCTAAAATTGTGACAATGATCGAACACTGCATCTTTAGAAAATATCAGTTTTATTTTTTATGATAGAGTAACACTTGACATGGCCATCTTAAATGCCTATCTCATACATTGAATCCTCAACTAGGAAACTCATACACTTAGTATTATTTTTATGCACGCTCTCTCTCTCTCTCTCTCTCTCTCTCTCTCTACACACACATACACACACACATTATATCTTGCCATTGAGGACTGCAATGTGAGGTGGATAGTGAGAATCTCAAGGCTGAAACAAATTTGCTACTTTCTGTCCAGGACTAAACTAGTATAGCATGACAGAAACTAACGTGTCTTCTGGGATCGCTGAAGTTGATCTTAAGCCTTTGAAGGAGACGCTTTTTGCCCAACAAGAAGTTCTGCAAAGTCTTTACGCAGAATTGGACCAGGAAAGAGAAGCATCAGCCACTGCAGCCAGTGAAGCCCTGGAAATGATCCTGCGTCTGCAAGGAGAAAAGGCTGCGGTGAAGATGGAAGCAAATCACTATAAAAGAATGGCAGAGGAGAAGATAGGTCATGCCGAGGCAACTCTTGAATTCTTTGAAGAGCTCATGAATCAGAAGGAAATGGAAATAGCGTCTCTGGAGCTTCAAGTTCAGTCTTACAAACGCAAACTCGTGAGCTTGGGATGTGATCCGAATGCAATTGAACTTGAGTTGCCAGAACAGAATGGAGAAACCAGTCAAAGTGGAAACATGAGAAGGTTAAACTCATTGCCCCCTATCCCTATTAAGAGCTCTTTAAGAGCCACTCTGAAGATGGAAACATTGCCTAGTCTAGTTTTAGAAACGAAAATGGGGCAGATCGCTGAGGAGGAAGTTACAGAGCAAAGCTTGGATTTGGCTAGCAAATCAGGAGACTGCGTATGTGGAAATGGAACCCTTAATTCTTACTGGAACCAAATCAAAAGGCTAGATGAAAAAGTGAAAGTGATGTCAGATATGAAACAATGTGAAGGAGAAAAAACAGCAAATTTGGAGAACAGAAGATGGAAATCATGTTCAAAATTTTCTCAGGGAAACAAGATAACATGTGATCAACCTGACACAGTATCTTCTACTAGCTTGATTAGTAACTTCTATGATGTTTTTGACATCCCACAACCTCGTGAGAATCTCAAAGTCAGAGAATATTGGAAAAGGGCACTTGCAAAATTTAATGCAGAAACAGGGAACAGAGTAGCAAAACGAGACTCAGTGTCTGGGGGAGCAGTTGAATCACTTGTTCAACATAAATCAGACAACCTTGAGAGCATGCTTAGTTCAAACAATGACATCCAAATAACCAGTCCAAAAGATGCTATGAATTTGATCGGCCAGAAGAAAGAAGTGGTGGATATAGATTGCAGCGCTCAAGCTGAGTTTCAAAAATTGTATCAGAGAATTGAGAGGATGGAGAGGGAGAGAATTAATAAAAGGGAAGAGATTGAACCTGAAGGGAATGAGAATGAGTCATTGAGGTTATTGAAAGAAATACTTAGTCAACTCAGATTAATACAGTCAGATATTAGAAGTTGGAAAACCAAAAAAGCAACGCCTAAGGATGATTTGTGCTTGAGTCGTCTCCAAGAGGTAAGATATATCAGGAGTTTTTTCCTTTTATATTTGATTTGAGAAAAGAAATTCTTCTTCTTCCTTCTTTTTGCCTGAAATCCCTCCTTTATTCGTTTTTCCCATATTGACGCAGTTCGATAGTAGTTTGCATGTAAAGATGAATATGATAGAAAGGAATATTCTTGCTTGTGGGTTTGAGCCGAAACTGAGCATTGAACTTCAGTTCAACCCAAGCGCTTTTAAATATTGCTTGGACTGGGCCGAACCAAATAACCTATGGCCTGAACTAGCCACATATAGTTTGGGGATGCTTTAACTCGGGACTTTTATAAAAAAAAAAAAAAAATCTCGGGACTGTTGCTTTACCTGAAATCTTGGATCATTCATGCTTTGTTTCTCATTTCTTTCAAGAATCTGATGATAGAAAATTTCTATGAACACTTGAACAGGCAATGCTGCACTTTTGGCTTTAAGTATAGGAGGACCATCTCAAAAAGCCAATAAGCTGAATTCATTATTTGTACATGCCCTTTGTCTACAGAGAGGATTGTTCAAGGTTTTTTATTTTGGATGGTTTCTTGTACAAAAATAGAATGACCAGGAAGTACAGATCTTTTGATTTGAACTTAATGGCTGTAAAGTGGATATCGAGCTTGAACTCCATATTGTACATTTGGCCCTCTTTTAGGGCTAACTCTGTTCTGCTCTGAGATTGACATAGTGGATTGAAGAGCTACTTGAATCTTGATACTCTGCTTACCATAAGAGAAAATGAAAACATCTCTTGTTTTTGACGTAAACTAATCCAGCTATCGATTAAAGGCATTTATTTGGAAATAGATCTTTTATTGAGAATTTAATTGCTGCTACTTATTCAGGACTCAAATTCTAAACATTTGATTAAATTGGATCAATTTTCCTTACTAGCTAATCCAGGCACTTGGTGATATAAATAATTTTTTTTAATGTGATTTATGAATAGAAATGGAAAAAAAGTATTTATCATCAAAGTCTTTATGAACATTGTATTCTGTCCGGACATTTTTTTTAAATTTAATGAAAATAATAATAAATAATCAAAAAAAATATAAAAATAAAATTTGATTTTTTTAGGATTATTTTTTAAAAAAAATTAATAAGGTTTATTTTTATTTTGAATAATCTTTTGTTGGTTAGGATTTTGTTTCTTTTAATTCATTAAAATAAAAAAATAAAAATATAAAAATAAAATTTAATCCTTTTTTAGGATTATATTTTCAAAAATAATAATAATTTAACAAAATAAAAAAATTTGTTTAAATCTTTTAAAATCTCTTCCAAATTATCTTAATCATTCAAAATATTGGGAATCAATTTTGTGAGAATCATCTCTTTTTTAAAAAAAAAAGAAATTCTTTCCTTAAATCTTGTTACTTTCCATTAAAAAAAGAAGAAGAAAGATATTCTTGCATAGTTCAAAAATAAATTTTTTCTCTCTTAATTTAATTTTCAAAATTTTAATTAACATAACATAAAAAAAAGAGCATTAAGCATAAAAAAAATAATAAATATGGGATGATCAGCATTTCACCTACACACCTAAATGCTTGGAATGTTACAGGGAGAAATAAAAATGTAGAAAGCAAGCCTTATAGCAAAAGCAAGAACAGCAGAAGCAAAGAGTAGAAAAGAAGAAGAAAGTTGAAAACACACAGAGAAAAACACAAAAATGCAAAAGGAGATTTAGACACATGCATGCACAGCAGAGCAAAGCAAGAAAGGTGAAGCACGTAAGCTCTCTCCTCACACGCAAGCTCTTCCCTGTTTCTGCTTTAAAAGGCACCTCAAAACAGAGACAGAAGAGAGGAAGAGAAGAGAGAGACAAGAAAATGAAAGAAAAATAGAGCAAAGAGGGAGAGAAATGAAAATGCAGAACAAATAGAAAAAGAGAACACGAGAATGAGAGCAGAAAATCAAGGTAGGAGAGAGTAATAAAAAGAAAGAAAAACTAGAAGAAAGAAGAAGAAAAAGGGAGGGGCCGAAGGGAAAGAGCATAGAGGGAAAGAAGCAAAAACCGAGAAAGGAGAGCTTTAGTGATAAAGGACAAGAAAACCAAATGAAGATGGAGAGAAAGAGACAGAGAGAAGAGAACGTCTAAAGAGGAAGGAGAGAGCACGAGAAACCAAAGGAAAGCTAAAAAAAATAGAGCATAAAAAGAAAAGGAGGAGGATCCGAAAAGGAGAGGAAACAGATAAGAGAAACATGGAAAAAGGGAGAGCTGGATAGCGTTTGAGTGAGATCTACATAAGGTGCAAAGAGAGGGAAAGACCGAGAGTATAAAAGAACAGAAAATAAGAGCACGGGGATGGACAGAAGGGAGGAAAAGGCAAAGACAGTTGCATACATGCGGACGTGGGTTTTTTAGGCAGAACAGAGAGGAGACAAATGGAGACAGAGGAATGAGAGTTTTTTGAAAAGAAAACAGAGACTAAGAGAAAGAAGAAATGAAGAGAGGAGAAGGAGAGGCGATGGAGACTGAGAGGGGGCTATTCTTGCTAAAAAAAGAGAAGATGAAGAGAGGAGAAGGAGAGACGACGATCGAGAGATGGAGGGACGAGCTTTTTTCTGAAAAAAAAGAGATTGGGAGAGGCGGAAAAAGAGACCGAGAGAGACAACTGTTCTTGCTGGAAAAAAAAGAGATCTGGGATATTGAGAGGAAGAAGACGTGCTACACATAGGTTCTCTAATATGCTTGCTTCTAAATTTGAAATGTTTACATTTGATTTCAATTTATTATTTCCAAATGAATTTCATGTTTAAATATCTATAAGCTTTGATTAGTGTTGGGGACCATGAAAATTTCTAAACAAGAGGTTGACATATGCCTAATTGATCATTTAGATGCTTGTATTTCTAATTACTTACTTGTTGTATGAGATTTTAAGAATTTTTATAAACATTTAAAATAATCATTTATCGTGTAATCAATAAGATTCGCAGGTATAAAGATCCAATTTATATATAGTAAACAAGGGTTTTAATGATCCACCGTTAAAATTAACTATCTTTTTATAATCTAAATAATTTATTTAAGTTTTATTTGATATTTTAAGAATCTTCATAGAGATTTAAATTAATCACATTCTCGTGTGGGATAATAAGTCCTTGCAGATATAGTGATTCTCAATTTCTATAGTAAATAAGTGATTTTTGTAAATAATTATATAATACACAACTTAGAAAAATTAATTAATCAAATTAATGAATTTAAGTTGTAATCACATTTACTGATTATATCTTTTAGTCATGTAAAATTTTTGAATCTTCATAAATTTTTAAGATAATCGTGTTATCGTATGAGTCAATAAGACTCTCCAAATATAATGATTAAGTTTTTATAAAATATATATATATATATATGCATAAATTATATATTAAATCAATCAAATTAAAAATGTACTTAATTGTATATTATTTAATTTTTTATCGTGTAAGCTTTTAGAATCTTTACAAATATTTAGGATAGTTATATTATCGTATAAGTCAATAAAACTTTGCAGGTATAATGATTAATATTTTTAAAAAGTGTATATGTGCATACATGTTAAAAAATTATTATTAATGCTTGAAAATATACATAAGAATATAAATAAATAAATTAAATTGCTAAATTTTTTTATCGTGTGAGATTCAAAATCTCTGTAGATATTTAGAATAATTATATTATCTTATAAGCTAATAAGACTCTACAGGTATTGCGATTAAATTCTCGATCATAAAAAATAAAAATAAAAATAAAAATAATTCTTAAACTCTTTTCTTTTTATTTATTCTAAAAATTCAAAAATTAAAAAAATAATTAAAATTAAATTACTTTTTGTAATTTAAAACACACATATCAAAATTTTAAAAATTATTTTATTTACAAAATGGTGAATTATTTTTAATTAATTTCTCTTAAAAAAATATTTTCACCAATAATTTTCAAACCCGAACTACATGGACTTTGATCCCCATCACAGGATACGTAAGCCTCAGAGTTAGATTCTGAACCAAGTCTTCCCTCGTAAATAAATAAATATTTTTTATTTAATTTTTATGCCAAGCACATAAATATAAAAGTGATAACTAAAATAATTTTAAAATTATATTAATATAGCACAAGAGATTTCAGGTAACCGTTCTCACGAATGGGTGTTGTGGAGTGTCTAACACCTTTCTCACACTCAACCGACTTTCGAACCTATTCTCTAATTTCGCAGACTACCCTTATCTTCCTTTAAACGGTTTCTCAAGATTTTTTTCAAAATCTTAGTGTTGATTCCTTGTTTAGCCGGTTCCCTCCGCAAAGGCAGGGACCTCTGCTAGAATGCCGTCTATGTTGCATTTTTTGGATGCTACAGTCTTAATTTGTCATGCGCTTTTTTCTTTTTTTTTTCCTTTATTACAATTTCACAAATGATCGGCTATAAAATTCAAAAAGATCATCCACACAGAACTCCTTGTTGAAAAAATATATATATGTACTTCGGTTGATTTAAACTCTCGCTTAACTTTGGTAGGACCATTAATATATATCAAAGCTCACCAAAATATTTGTCGTTCACGACTGCACTTAAGGGAATGTAAATCTAGTTTATGTCGTTTGTAATGATGGCATATCATGTAAGCAAGCTAGTTTATTATAATGTGCTTAGATACCTACCTTTCGTAAGATATTTAATTAATGGTGCATGAGTCTACTTGATCATTTGTGATTTCGCATTAATTGAGGGCTACTTCAAAGCCATACCTTCATTTAATATTAACTCTTTTTTTTTCTCGTTTACAACAACATTGTTTCATGGAATATTTGTTACGCACACACACACACCTTTGAAATATATTTTATGCACAATGTTGTTACAAATTAATTTTCAAGTATTTTATTGGGAAGTGAAAATTCATTTTTTATTAAATTAAAGGTTTCCTTGCGATGCACAATCTCAACAAAATTGGTTGGTACATAAACCTAATTTACAGTGCAATCTGACGTGGACGTGACTACAAAAATGGCATGCCAGGAACAATGACTTGATCATTGGACTTGATTCAGCTAGGGGTGAGCAAAACCGAACCGAAACCGAGAACCGAATCGGATCGAATCGAATTTTTATTATTTGATTCGGTCTATTTGATTTTTCGGTTCGATTCGGTTTTTTGTTTAAAAATATTTTGGTTGATCGGTTCGGTTCGGTTAATAAAATTTAAAATCGAATAGACCGAACCGACCGAATTATGTATTACTTATTAATTTATAAATTATTTTATTTTATTATTTTAATTTATATTGAAATAAAAATATGAAAGTTGAAAAAAACCCTAACCCATAGAGTCATATCCCGCCTCACTGCCTCAGTCCGGACAGACGCAGACCGCAGCCTCACTCACCCTGACCCTGTCTCATCTCAAGTTTCCTCTCGGCTCTCAGACTCTCATCTCTCAGATCGCAACTCGCAAGTCGTCTCTCTCGCCGTCACATAGCCTCGCCGGTCGCTCTCTCTCATCACTCATCAGCCATCTCTCTCGCGGCTCAGGTCACCACAGATTCACAGCCTCACTCGATCGCTCTGTCTTAGCCTCTCAGACTCTCAACTCTCAGATCGCAAGTCGTCTCCCTCAAGCCGTCATCGTTCGCATCTCTCGCATCTTGCCGTTCGCATCTCTTACATCTCAGGCTGATTATTCGCAGCTCAGATTTCCTATCTCTGTTCTGGCATCTTAGTCTCTCTCTCTCTTGCCCTTGCTATCACTAAACTCACGGAGACACTGTCTGAAGGCGAGAGGCTGCTTAGATCTGTGAAACACAGAACCTTAAGCTTGAAGGACGATCTGCGTAAAGCATTTTAACAGGTTTTTTGCTTCTTCCCTCGAAATGCAGCTCTTCCTCTCTCTCCCTTTGATTTGGTCGGTTCTTGTTGTCTTGATCTACCATGCCCAAGATCTAGTTGTTTCATAAGAGTTCTAATTGCTTCCTCTGTGAGTCCACACTATGAACTTTATGCTTGATTATGCATTGTTGAGATTCATGTCGTCATTAGCTGTGAAGTTCACTGTAGCTTGACAATGAGTTTTCTTTGGTTTATCTTCCGTCTATGTCCCTACTTCTTTGCTCTTTTTTGTTTATGTAATGTGTTCCTTTCAAGCCAAAATGCAACAAAGGAAAATGTTATTGGGAATTTAATTGACTGCTTTCGCGTTCTTTGCTGAGTTGCTCTGTCTCTACTTTGTATTTATTTTTTTTGATTGCTATGCATTGTCACAGATGTCTTCTCAAGCTGAAGCTATGGCTACAAACCAAACTGAAGTTAATGAAGAAAACAAAGCCCCAGTAGCATCAAGTGGAACTGAAGTAATGAGTTCCTTGTAAAGGATGAAGAGGAAAGCCATGAGGCCAAGATCTGAGGTCTGGGATCATTTCACTAGATATGTGAATGAGCATGGGGAGACCAAAGGTAAGTGCAACTACTGTGAAAAAGAATTTTTTAGTGATCCTAAAAGAAATGGTACTACTGCACTAAAGAACCATATGACAATATGCAAGAAACGACCTGAAGTAGAAGAGCCTAGGCAAACACATTTAAATTTTGGTATAGAAGATGATGCTATTGTTCTTGCTACTTGGAAATTTGATCAAGATGCTATTAGGAAAAGTATGGCTGCTATGGTTGTGACTGATGAATTGCCATTTAAATTTGTTGAGGGGATAGGATTTAAGAGGTTTATGTCTCATGCTCAACCAAAATTTAAGATTCCTTCTAGATGGACTGTTGCTCGTGATTGTTTTCAACTTTATGTTGATGAAAAAATCAAATTCAAGGATTATTTGATCAATAGTAAACAAATGATTTGCCTCACTACTGACACTTGGACTTCAATTCAAAGAATCAACTATATGTGTATTACAGCCCATTTCATTGATGCTGATTGGAATTTGGTTAAAAGGATTTTAAATTTTGTTCCAATATCTAGTCACAAGGGGAGGGATATTGGAATGGAAATAGAGAAATGTTTGCTTGAATGGGGGATTGAAAGAGTGTTTACTATTACTGTAGATAATGCCTCTACTAATGATGTTGTTGTGTCTTACTTGAGAGAAAAAATTAATAATTGGGGCCATTCTGTTATGAGCTGTTGGTTTTTACATATGAGATATGTTGCTCACATTATTAATTTGATTGTGGTTGATGGGTTGAAAGAAATAGGAACTTCTATAAAGAAAGTAAGGGGGGCTGTTCATTTTGTGAGGCAATCTCCACTTAGGATGAAAAAATTCAAGGAGAGTTGTGAAGATGAGAAAATCCCAAGTAAGCAATTGTTGTCTTTAGATGTCTCTACTAGGTGGAACTCTACCTATTTGATGTTGGAGACAGCTCAAAAGTTTGAGGCTGCCTTTAGGAGGTTTGAGGATAAGGACCCTTATTTTAGGATTGATCTTGAAAGTGGGGAGGGAATGCCTAATGTTGAAGATTGGGCAAATGTAAGAAAGATGACAATGTTTCTAAGTCATTTCTATGAGTTGACTTTGCGTGTTTCTAGTTCTTCACTTGTCACATCTAATGAATTTTTTCATGAGATTTATATGTTATTCCGCCTTTTGGATGAGTGGAGAAAATGTGATGATTTGGAGTTTTCTTTAATGGCTTATAAAATGAAAGAAAAATTTGATAAGTATTGGGGAGATCCTTCAAAAATCAATAAATTGATGTTTGTGGCTGCTATTCTTGATCCTCGGTATAAGCTTGAGTGGGTGCAATATTCACTTGATAAGATGTATTCTAGTGAGGTTGGAAAGCAAGTTGGAAGGCAATTGAATGATTTGCTCATTTCTTTGTATAATGAATACAAAGAGCATGTCTCTCCTTCAAAGCAAGTTGAAAAGAAGCAATCATTTAATTGCTACGAATCTGATGAAGATGATGACCCAGCTGTGAAAGTTAAAAAAATTCTTGAATATGAAAAGAAAAAATTCATGAGTGAAAGGCTTGGTGGGAGAACTAGTAGGACAGAAGTTGACAAGTATTTGGCTGAAGAAATTGAGATGGATAAGGATGATTTTAATATTTTAAGTTGGTGGAAGTTGAATGAGCCTAGATTTCCCATTCTCTCTCAATTGGCAAGGGATGTTTTGGCTGTCCCAATTTCTACTGTTGCTTCTGAGTCTACTTTCAGCACTGGAGGACGTGTGCTAGATTCATTTAGGAGCTCTTTAACTCCTAAAGTTGTGCAATCTCTTGTTTGTGGTCAAGACTGGCTTCGCCACTCACTTCCGGTTCTAGTAGAAGAGAAGATAGATGACGCACAAAAGATTGAGAGAGGTGATTTATTATGTGTTATATTGTTTTAAATTTAATGTTGAGTTATTAGTTAAATGATATTAATATTAAATACTTTATTTATGTTTAGATCTTCAAAAAATTGCTATAGAAGCGAATGTGGATGTACTATGAGCCTTTGTTCTTAATGACTTGAGGTAATTATTTATATGTTAGCTTTTTAATTTTTAAATTTAATGACTTGAGGCACTGTGGCTGTTTAATTTTAATATACTGTTATGTTTTAATTGTTATAGCTTGAGGCACTGTGGCTGTATATAGCTTTTTAATTGCTATACTATTATGTTTATTATTTGGTAGTTATGTAAGCTTTGTCGTCCAGTTCTTTTCATGATGATCTGTAAATAATTCTTTGCATCTTCCAGTCATGGCAGCAACAGCACCTGAGGCTGAGGAATCACAATTTGATGCTCGTCAATATGACACCAAAATTAATGAATTGTAAGAACTATAATCTTGTTCCTTTAACAAGTTATAAGCATATTTAATCTAGATTTTGCTTATGATTTGTCTCTACATTAGGCAAATTATTGCAATTGAATGCTCATACTCTCTACTTGATATTGATAACTTCTTGATTTTAGACTTTCAGCTGATGGGCAGGATTTCTTGGCTTCTTATACGATTTTTACTTGTGTAATGTAGGTTGCAAGATGCTAGTGCTATGGTACTCCATTTATGAAGGTTGCTCATTTTATTTTGTTTTACTAATTTGGATATTTGATTATTGTAATGGTTTAATTTTAATATTTTAAAGACTTGTTGGTTTCTATAACTGGATTATATAGTACTGTGGTTGTTTAATTTTAATATTTGAAGTTATCTTCTTCTCTTTATCAATATTATATGGCACTTGGCTGATAGGAATTCCTCATGTGGAATTGAACAGTGATGCGAGCTTTTTTTTTGGTTTCTTTCTTATTCGTTTTTTTTTGTCAACTTTTTTTGGACCAAACGGTGATGTGAGCCTGAGGAAGGATTCTTTATATGGCACTTGGCTGGATTAAAAATTCTGTTAGCAAGCACATGTTAAAATGGGCTCATTGAAAAAAACGAATAAAAAAAAGCCCAATTTTATAGTGTTGTTTTTTAATATTTAAAAAAAATGGGCCCAATTTCAAGTAGCCCAATATGAAACCAAAAAACCGAATTAACCGACCGAACCGAATTATCAAATTTCGGTTCGGTCCTTGTTCGGTTTGATTGGTTTATTCGGTTCGATTCGGTTTTCATTTTTAGTGTTATTCGATCGATCGGTTCTGTATATTTTGAGACCGAACCGAACCGAACCGACCGATGCTCACCCCTAGATTCAGCTAGATGTCATGTACCAAAAACCTCAAAGTTGTTTCGTTTACCAAATTTATACTTTATCCGTTTATTATTATTTAAGATTTTTTTAACAAATTACGTTTTTAACGAGCTAGCTAATTATTTTTAAAATTATACATTCTTTTTATATTTATTTTTTAATAGAATATCTTAAAAAATCTTATGAGTTATACTCTTAATTAATAGATTTTTTTAAAAAATCTTATTAATTACACTTTGAAAACATAAATTACATTTTATTTTTAATATAATATTTTTTAAAAATGTCTAGGACACTGAACGGGGGGATTGTAGAGAGAGAGAGAGAGAAACAATAGAAAAAGTTTAAAGAAAATAAACTCTTGACTTCTAGAACTGGATAATAATTTTTTTAAAAAATAATTATATTGAACTTGTTAATTATATCTATGCAGATAATTCTTTCAATTTTAAGTTTTGCGTATATTATCCTTATAGCACATCATATATTATTATTTTGATAAAAACAATTATACTATTAATGATGAATTTAATGATTATATTTCATATTTGCATTGCCTAAACTGCAAGGTCAACACGAAATGATCACAATTTACTCAGCAGAGGGGAGGGGTTAATGTGCTTCACGAAATGGATTGTACGAATATATAAAGGTGAGAATGGTATTGTCATCAACCAATTCCACTATTCTACTTTCACACAATGTGTGTGTGTGTGGCCACTTTAATAGTGGAAGGCACTTGAGTGTCACAACGGCAAGCCTTAAAAAACAGAGAAATTGGAAAAGAATTGGCTTAAGTACAATTCACACAGTAAGTTGGATTTGGGAATTATATGTATTAAAATGCCTTAAACAAACTAAGCGATAATCTAAACAAGACAAGTGCTTGAGCTGAATTGAAACAGTCAACTCGTGTTTCAGATGCAATGAACACAATCATTTCAATGCATGCTTTAAAAGAAAAACAAATGTTCTTCACAAATAAGAATCCTACCAGCAATAAATCCAATAGGATCACTTACATAAAGTAAGTCCACCCATGAGAGAACAAAGAAATAATACATACGTTAATTTTCATCACAGTCCCTCTATTTCACCGGTCATTTTAACTTTTGCCTTAAAAACTACTTCAATACAGAAAAAAAATAAAGTTACTAGTAGAATGGATTGAAATTCAAATTCACAATGCTTTCAATGCTGCTTAGTTATTAAGTTATCTTCACAATAGAAAGGATCATCCTTGTGAGTGACTTCTTCAATCATATGAAGTGATGGATTGGACAAGAAGTCTTTCAACCTGCCAAGCTCTAGAGCTACATCAAGCATGGTTGGTCTCATTGAAGGATTGTTCTGTGTGCAAATAAGGCCCAGCTCTATGAGTTCCATGATAACATCTTGCCAGATTTTGTTATGTTGCACTGGCGAGAGGCTTAAAGGGAAGTACCTTTGCAATGCTTGTTTCACAATGGCTTCAAGCTTGTGTGGATACTGTCTCTTAACCCAATCATGCAAGCTAGATCCTTCATGGATAAGGACATCAGTAGGGGGCCTACATGTCACAATTTCTAACAGAACTACTCCAATACTGTAGACATCACCTTTAGTTGAGGCATGTTTTCCCATTCCATACTCTGTCTCATTCAATAGAAGGAGAGGAAGATAGTAAGTTTCATAGAACAAGTTCATAAATATCTCTAATAATACAGAAAACATAGCTCTTTAATTGTAGCGACAGACTAAGTAACTCCACTTATTCTGTTTCTTTTTTATCATTTCAGTTCAGTTCAGCACAGGCTCATTTTTTCCTGCTAAGCCTTTATACTAATAATTGGATATAATATTATGAAACTTGAACTAATAATTGGATATAATATTATGAGACTTGAACACTTCAAAAGAGGAACTGTGTTTATTTTGGCATGTGTTGGACCCTCATACCAGATGCAAAATCAACGTTTATGTATCAACTTTTGGATACTTATATCCATGCTTCCTATAGCCATACTCTCAATTAACAGGGAAAAGAAGGTTGACGGTGGGCAAGGGTATTATGATTCCTAATCCTAGGTACTGTTTCATACAAGTCACATCTTAGTGACTCCTGAAATTTTAATTCCTTAGAAGTACTGCTAACAATCATGGCAATGACATAATAAAAAAAAAAAAAGAAACAGTTGGAAAATGAACTACATACCGGGGGCTATGTAGCCAATAGAACCCAATAACAAACCTTGTGTTGAACTGATAGACGTTGTGTTATTGGAGGGGTTGCTCTCATCACATTTAACAAGCCTTGAAATTCCAAAATCTGTTACCAAAGCTGTCATATCATCATCAAGAAGTATATTACTTGGCTTAAGATCACAATGCACCACTTTAACTGGAGAGTAATGGTGGAGATAGGCCATTCCCTCAGCTACATCACTGCAGATCCTTACTAACTGAACCAAATCCAACCTCTGGCTCAAATCAGTGCTTGGATATAGATGCCTTTCGAGGCTACCATTTGGCATTAGTGGAAGAACAAGAGCCTTAAACTCTGACTTACTGCAAATCTTGATGATCCTTATTAAGTTTCTGTGCCTGGTCTTCTTTAGGATCTGACATTCCCTTTTAAAGCTCCCTGAAATATCACTAGCAGAGGTAACATTTAATACTTTCACCGCTATTCTTGTATTGTCTTGGAGGACTCCCTTATAGACCTTTCCAAACTGACCTGAACCAATCAAGCTTGAAGCATTGAAGCCCCCAGTGGCTTCAACAAGTTGTTTATGTGAAATTCTTGGGTAATTGAGCTCTTTTCTTTCCTCTTCACATTCCAAGTTCCACATGCTAGAAATGGCTAGTCTCTTTCGGACTCCTGAATTGAACCTAAACATGCAAAACATGGGGGTGCCAAAGAGTAGCACGAAGAGTAGCACCAGAATTAACAAGAGAATCAAATGATGGCTATGTTTCTTATGGCAGCTATGCAAGCCTTTTACTGAGCCACAAAGGCCATCATTTCCTTGGAAAGAGTCTATGGTGAGAGATGAAAACGCTCCTTCAATTGATACGCTCCCTGAGAATTTGTTGAAAGAGAAATTAAGTTCTTTGAGAGTAGAAGATAACTGCAGAGATTGAGGTATTTCCCCAGTCAATTGATTCAAAGACACATCTAGTGCTCGAATGTAAGGCAATTGGCCTAAAGAATATGGAAGAGGTCCTTCTAAAGAATTACCCGAAAGGTTGAGGTACTCAAGTGCTATGCAACTTTCAAACTGTAGGGGGATTCTACCAGAGAGGTTGTTCCTAGATAAATCGATAGCTAGAACCATGCCCATTTTGCTGAGCTCTAATGGGAGAGGCCCAGTTAAGTTATTGCTTGACAAATTCAAGTATAGCTTTAAGCTTGTTAAGGCTGCAACTTCAGTAGGAATCACCCCTGAAATCTTGTTACGAGACAGGTCTAGAGTCTCCAAATTGACACATTTTCCGAGGCTTGGTGGTATTGTTCCAGAAAGCTGGTTATGATAAAGTAAAAGCCTTCTTAACTGTAAAAGATTGCCAAAATTATCTGGTATTGAACCAGAAAGCCAGTTTCTTGACAAATCTAGCAGACCCAGATGCTGAATATCACCAAGGGTTGAAGGAATCTCACCAGATAAAGAATTATTAGACAAGAAAACTCTCTCAAGCCTACTCATCAGGGATAGATTGGGAGGGATTGATCCATTTAGTTGGTTACTGGACAAGTTTAATAGAGTTAGATTGACAAGGTTGGCAATGTCTGGGGGAATTGAACCATATATGAGATTTTCGTCAAGGTGAAGCTGCATTAATGATGTTGGAAGACCTCCAACTATATGAGGTAGCTTCCCTCCAAGATAGTTTCCATCTAATTCAAGAACTTGAAGGTTAGACAAATTTACAAGGGAAGTAAAAAATGGTTCAAGATTGGTGTTACCATTATGGCTAACAAAACCATTGGAGGATAGGTAAAGATATTGTAAATATGGCCAATTACCAACAATCTTTGATGGTAGCTCACCACTCAACTCGTTGAATCCCAAATCAAGCCATCTGAGTTCTGTACAGTTTGAAAGAGCTGGAGGAACTTGTCCTACAAGCTGGTTAGACCAAACTAAAAGATGCCTAAGCTTATAGAGCACGCACTCATTACTCAAGGGGATTTGTCCAACTAATGAATTGTTAGAGAGGTCTACATTTTTCAATGAGGATGATGAGTTGCAGAACAATGAAGGTGGAATCACACCCTTTAGCCTATTACTTCCCATGTCTAGGTGGCGTAAGTTATGAAGTGAACTCAGCTCTGAGGGGATCTTCCCTTCTAGAAGATTCCAATACAAACTGAGTTTTTCAAGCTGAACTAAACATCCCAACTCTTTTGGGATATGACCCACGAAAAAGTTCTCAGAAAGATCAAGAACTTTCAAAGCAGAGAGGTTCCCAAGAGCAGGGGAAATTGTACCCCCTAGTGACTTTCTACTCAGACGAATCTTTATGACTTTCCCACTGACATTGTTACATTTAATCCCTAACCAGTCACAAAAATGAACACCAGGAGACCTCCAACTAGCTAGAGAGTTTCCTGGGTCTGAAACAATTCCCGACATGAAATTTCTCAGTGAACTTCCATCATTCACCTCGTGGGCATTTTCAACCCCACTAAAGTGAGCAATGAGAAGACAGAAAAATAGAAACATTGAGAAATAGTGAAAGAAGAGCTTGAAGTTTGAAGTTCAATGCGAGCTGAAAATGAGAAGCCATGGCCATGATAGAATTTCAAGGCTAAATAAGGAGGAAAGGAGCCAGAAGTGGTGGGAAAATATGAAGTTTGTGCCTAACTGCCGTTGAAGTAAACGACGAGCGTTTGGCGCTAAGGATGTGACTTTAAAGGTTGACGTATCTGAATTGAGCATGGACGATCAAGATAAGACGCGTGCTCAACGTCGCTCAACGTTTAGGCGTTTAGCAATAGTGGTGGTGGACACGTGAGCAAGTTTAATATTGGGGTTTCTGTACCAAAAATATGAATTAGTGCACGTTGATTGGAAAAAAAAAAAAAAAACAAACAAACAAAGAGAGTTAGTGCATGTCGAACTGTTATTAGCAAAGAAAATCATGGACAGTGCTGAGGACACACGCTTATCTATCTTTCATATTTATGTAATTAAATGTGTACGGCTCAAAAATAGGGGGAAGAGATTATACCATAATACAATAGTTATTTCCTTCCAATTACACTATATATATATATATATATATTATTTAGGGGGAGCAACTGAGGGTTTTCAAAAAATCAATTTAATATGAACTAGATGGATTGTAAGCTTTTTAATTTGTAATGTATGTTTTCAGTATTATTAAAAAAACATCAATTTAACAATAAGCCATACAATTTTGCTGGAATAGGAGTCATAAGTATTCAGTATTGATTCACAAATTATAAATATGAGAATATCATTTATAAATAAGATATTTAAATCTTATAGGTCAGTGCAACTCATTTTTTTATTTATAACTATTTAAATTAATATTTGTAACTCATTATTTAATGTGATGACATTGTGCTTTTTACTATTTACTAGGTTTGGCAATGTCTTTGTTCTTACAATACACACACGCAATATGTTCACATTGTTTTATAAGATATTTTTTAGAGTGTTTTTTTTTTTGGAGGGGTGTAATTAGAGTGATCAAATGTCCCATAATATAATATATTTTTAGAAAAATAATAATTCATTAATAAAAAATATTCTATTTTTTTAATTACTTCGCTCTTTAGATATAATTTTTGTCCCTCACTTTTGTCATGTGAAGAGTATTTTTAAAAATTTATAGAAAAACTAAAATTTCAAACTAATTTAATTAACTTTGTTAGCATTTACAACTAAAAAAAAAAAAATGTCTTATGAAATTACAAGAAGGGTTAATATTTACAACTTATCATTTAATATTTTTTTTTCAAACTTAACTATTTCTAACACTTAAATCTCTCCGTTTTTTTTTTTTTTCTCTTAAAGGCCGAACCTCTAGCTCGCCGAGAAAGTAATACCCACACATTGTGAAAGACATTACCAGCTTGGCGCCAAGCAGGGATTTTTCTTTTAAAAAAAATTGCATCATTCCTCCTCTAAATTATTTGTAATTGCCAAATAATCAAATCGTGCCATGAACGATATTGGTTTTGGTAAACTTGTCGGATGAAGAAATGCGTTTGAGCACTATATTAATATAATTGAGTAATAATGATGTCCTGTGAAAAAGTGTTGATGGATGGACAAACAAAGATTGTCATATCGCTGAAGATTATCACAAGTGTTCGCTGGCTTATGGCTAATCATGCTAGTAAAGGTGAAAGCCACACAACCACGAGACATATATAAAGCAGGAGAAGGAAAATAAGGGTAGATTTCCTCAATTAATTATCGATTAATTGCATAGACTTGTATTTTCGGTTCACCTACCCACCACTTGTCCCCTTTGTCGACTGATTGACTGGGTAGGGATGTCTTTGTATTAAAAATAACATTTTTCACGATATGTTCAGTTCAGGATTAAAATTGTGGAAACTTCTCTTAGAATAATTCATACTTTAATGTCTTGCTTGGTATGATGAAAATATTTTGATGGAAGTAAAAATAGATATAAGATTTGAAAATATGTTTGGTATGTTTATGAAATTGAAAGATTATTTTATTCAATATTAATATTTTAAATATGAAAAGACTAACATGTCCTTATCTCAAAAGTATATTACTCCTGCAAATTGAAGAAGGGACACCATGAATGATGATGATCTGCTGTAACCCATGAAATCAAAGAAAAAGAAGGCCTCATCACATAATCGAAAACAAAGAAAGAGGCAAACAACATGAGCAACCATTGTCGAGTCAGAAGGTAGATATAGAAGAAGATGAAGAACATCGTCGTCGTCGGATCAAAAGGCAAATTTGGAAGAAGATGAAGAACGGTGCCATTGGTTCCATTTTGCATCTGGTCTCCGTCATTTTGTTTGTTGGTCATCAATTTAAGTTTGTCAACGAAAACTTTGAAGGCTAATAACATGGGCTCACTATGTCCGCAAATTTAGGTCTATGAACATAAGCTCAGCGAGAGAGGAAGGAATAAAAAATGAAATTAGAAATTTAAAATTTGAAAATTATTTTCTTTCTTTTATAGAATTCAATTTCATTAATTTTGATGGAGATAATTTTCATATAAAAATTCAATTCAACTAAATTTTAACCAATCAAACATGAAAAAATTTCAGTTTCATTTTCATGTCCATTTTTATCCTTTCAATTTCATCATACTAAACTAGCCCTAACAACTTAGCTTGCCACACTATGAATGACTAATTTCTTTCATTAGACTTCACCTTGGTAAGTTTGATTAATTGACATTGTTAGTTCTTTTTGATATCCTTCTATTAGAGACGATTTTATTCGAGATATTACCTGACATTAAATGTGAGCACCTCTTTTGTAAAAAATTTAAATATTAATTTATCACGAGACTAATCTCTTTTATTAAATCCAATCTCTTTCATAATTAATTTAAACATGTGGCCAATTTGTATTTTTCCCCCTCATAATATTGATAATCCGTCTTGCTTCTCGGTTCTGCCCTTTTTTTTTTCTGGTGTTGGGCTATATAGGTGGACTGGATCTGAATTTCATAGTGAACCCACCAGCCGTAATGTATTTTGCTTTTACCATTATTTATTGATTATTAATATGACAATTTTATTCATGACCGATACTTTTAAATTAATTATAATTTTTTTAAGAAAACTGAATATTCCATACAATACAATGATAACATTTATGATGTGCAATCTTTAACAAAATTTAATCTATGTATAACATAAAAACATGCATTGTATATACTTCAAGTGAAATTTTGAGCTTTTCAAAGACGCAAAACAACATCACATACATTACACATGCACGTGTCTATGACAAATTGACCATGGTCACTTTTCATTTATTTTATAGAAATAATAAGGAATGAACACTATTGACCCTTTTGAGAGTCAATAAACAGACAAGTATCTCGAGATAAAAAGTAGAAGATCAGTACAAGTGAAATTATTAAGTATTTTGAAAATAAGACCAGTGGGATAACATGTATATTCAGAACAAGTGATCATTAAGGATTTGCTTAATTTAGGGTAAGTAGAGAAGAAAAGGGACTAAATTTCTCTCTGCCTAATTGATTAAGTGTTGACTTTTGCGGAAGCTAAACCGCACAGGCTCAATATCACCTCACGGGTCACGATAATATTTACTGAAACAAGCAATTATTTATGAAATTTATGATATGTATGCTTCATGAGAAGTTCACTCAATTAAGAATGAGATTTTGAATTTCCAATTCTTTATTCGTGTGATGAAAGTCTTTTTCATTTATGCTGGCATGAGTTGGTGTCTTATTTTTGTTTTTTTTAAGATCAATATATTAAACGTAAAAAATAATAACTCCACAATAAAATAAGATTAAAAGCAATATCAGAATTAAAACAATTAAACTTAGTAATATGAAAGGAGCATGCGACGAGTTAAAAAGAGTTGTAACTAAATGATTAATGAATAAAACAACATAATATAGAGCAGTCGTCTGTTTAAAAACATAGAATATTTTTAATTGAATTAAACATAATAATAAATTAGGTAATTATTTTTAAATTAATATTATCTTTTCTACTCTTACTTAACCATACTTCTCACTTTTTTTGGTAAAAAAAAAAAAGAAGAAGAAGCAGTACTACTCACTTAAAGGGAAGTATTGGATGATTTATTTATTCAAAGTTTTTTTTTAAAATTTATTAATTACACATTAAAAAATTAAAAATATTTTATATTTTTTGAAATATCTAATTCAACATTAATAAATGGATAAAACCATTAAAGTGTATCTTTTATCCTTTAATTTTACACAAAATTTTATTTTAATTTTTTAACTTGTTAATCCTAATATCATTAGTCTCATTAGCAAATAATTCCTATATTAAATTTTTAAATATTAAAAAAATATCTTTAAATATTAATATATTAAATTTAATTTTTTTAACTAACAATGATTAATATCAAAATAATCATTTTTTAGTGATGATATTAGGATTAAAGATATAAAAAATACTTTATAAAATTAAAAAATTAACTTTAAACTTTAAATAAAATTAAAGAATTTAAAATATACTTTAATCGAACAAATATAGTATATTTTGAAATTTTTGAACATATTTGTTTTAATAAAAAGATAATTTTATTCATTACTTAATTCATAGGACACTTTTATAAAAAATTTTTTATTTTAAAATATAAAATATTTTGAGTAGATTAAAATTTTATTAAATACGTCAATTTTAATATTACTCTTTTTTTGTAATTAATTTTTTTAATATATTAAATTATAAATATTTTTAAAAATTTATCTTTTTATTTTAAAAAAAATGAGATTGTTAAGTATATTTAATAAAATTTATTAATATGTAAAATTTTATTCAAAAATATTTTATAATTAAAAATAAGGGAAGTACAATTGACGCATTCGAGTAATTTGATCGAAAAAGAAACAACAAAGCTGGACAATAAACAAGACCAGAAACCAAAAGCTTTAGCAGCATAAACATAACAAAGATGCATTTAAAATATTGGCGGAAAAAAATGTAATCAACATCGAACACAACATTGAAGTGCGATGGAGATGCATTAGTTGGTGTTGTCGGCCTCCGCTCGCAGGTTTAAGCGAGGTTTTGTCCTCGTCTTATGCAGGTACTTCTATGCCTTCCAGACTCTCCACCCTCTCCACCGATCCATAACTCCACAATGAGCTTAGCAGCTTCCTTTCCTAGCCTAGAGGTTCATGCTCATACAAGAACTAGCCTCTACGTTCAAAGAAAACCTCACAAAAACCGTCACTTTCTCTCTATTCCCAATCCTTCCACCGCTTCTTCTCCCTTGACCATTACTTCCCCCTCAAACCCAATTCAATTCCATCCTTTATCGGATTCTGTCCACGATAATTTCATTGACGACCTCGACAATCCACTCAATCCATTCAATCCCGTCGTGAATAGAATTTATCAAATCCAGGCCCCCCCGGAGTCGTCAAGCCGGAGAATATTTATTCAGGAGCCACCCTGGATTTCTTCGCTCTTTTTGAAAGGGCAGAACAATATAGCTAGTCGAGAGTTGAAATTGGAGTTTAAGGAAATTGAGAAGAGCAAGTATAATTTGCTGCGCAGGAGGCAGATTAAAGCGGAGACTGAAGCATGGGAGAGGATGGTGGAGGAGTATAGAGAACTAGAAAGAGAAATGCGTGAGAAGAACTTGGCCCCTAATTTGCCTCACGTGAAGGCACTGTTTTTAGGGTGGTTTGGTCCCCTGAAGGAGGCTATAGAGAGGGAGCAGAAGTCACAGATGTCGAAGAAGAAGAAGGCGGCATATTCACCGTATATTGATATGTTGCCTGCAGCTAAAATGGCCCTTATTGTTATGCATAAAATGGTGGGTTTACTCATGCTGGAGCATGAGGCGGGGTGTGTTCAGCTTGTTCAGGCTGCTGTTCAGATTGGGATGGCCATTGAACAAGAGGTAATTGATTTGAATCTTAACATTTTCTCTTTTGGGGAGCGGTCTGCTGTTTTTTATCAATTATGTTGAATATGGCAGGCGCGTTAGATTTAAGGAGTGATATTGAGTTTTTGTTAAAAGAATCAGAACTAGGAGGTTGTTGATAACTGATAAGTGCGCAACCAGTTTATCTATATCTGGGAAGCATATAAAAGGAGTTCATTGTAAACATTATGATTGTCGTGGAAGTGAAATCTGATGAGTATACCCTGATAATCTTGTTTTGTGTGTGTATTTTTTTTCCTGGGTATTAATAAGTTGGTTAACCTCTGTATGGGTGGCAGTGGCACCTTGGATTGAACTTTTTATTACTGTTGCACATTGCGGTTTTTCTCTGGTGGCATGTCCTGACCACTCTGCCCTCATTGTCAGAAAAATGGTAGCATAAAATAGTAAAAGTATTCAATAACAATTGTACAGTTACCAATATAGATCCTTTGGTTGCTTGTTTTGTTTGCAACTCGTAAAACCTGCTTTTTAGTCATTGAAGCTTACTTCTGTGCCCTTACATCACCTATTATTTGCTGTTATTGTTTACTGTAGCTTTTGATGAAGATGTCAGAAAAGAAGTGCACCCTTTCCTGATTGTTTCCACTTCCTCTTATTTTGTAAATCAAGCATATGCTGTAATTATCTTATTGTTTTACAGGTAAGAATTCATAAATTCCTGGAAAAAACTAGAAGTCAGCAGGGTAAGAGGACAATAGTTAATGCTGAGGACAGCCTGAACAATGATAGAGAAAAACTAAGGAAACGTGTAAATGTTTTGATTAGGAGGAAAAGACATAAAAAAGTGCAGACACTACTGAAAAAGGAAGAATTTAGTTCATGGGCTCGTGATACCCAGGCTAAGGTTTGTGTGCACTGTATGTGTGTGTTGTTCCTTTCCATCATTTTCCCCTCTTTTCATTGGGAATTCTTTTTTGGGAGGGGGTTTGGTTTTAAATCAGAACCTAATGGGGAAAACTTTGGAACTATGCAGCTGGGATGTCGATTAATAGACTTATTAATTGAAACAGCATATATACAGTCTCCAGTTACCCAGTCTGCTGATTTTCCACCTGACATTCGACCAGCATTCAAGCACAGGTTTCAAGCTGTATTGAAGTATCCCAGGTTAGACTTTTTCTTTTATTTAACTTTTCTTTTTTGAGAATTAATTAATACTCTAAGAGCTCAACCATTAGCTTAACTGTAATGAAACTGTCACATTAGAGAAATTGTAGATCGGCTGTTTCTTGGGTGGGAGATTGCCTGATTAATTGCATCCTTATTGGTACTTATATTTCTCTTTCTCACTTTCCTTCTGTTTATATGATGCTTATATTCTCCCCCTCCTCTCCCACACACATGCCCGATGGATATTAAACGCCATTGGCCTTTTAGCTTAGGAGGAGTTTGGCTAACATCATTGTTGCCTAATGAAATGAAAGAATAAATACCAATTCAATTGTCTGTTTGGTAGTAAAGTGAGAAAAAAGAATGTACCTGGATTTATTTTGCTGATGGTTGATGAAAATTCCCAAACCATGATAATCTTTTTATCTATTTCCATTCTGAATAACAATTTGTACTTGTAGGCAAAAGATTTTGAAGAATTATGGCGTTATAGAATGTGATCCCTTAGTCCTTGCTGGGCTTGATAAATCTGTAAGTTGAGATATCTTGTTTTTGTCCATTATAGTATCACTAACAACGTCTTTATTATCTTTCCATATTTGAAGTTTGCAAGTGCCCCCCCCCCCAAACCTTCCTCCACAGAAAATAACTTGCATTCATACAGAAATAGAGAAGATTTTCACCACCTTGCTTTTTAACCAATCAGCTAAATATCTTGCTAAAGATGTTGTACTTAAAAATATATAAAAAAAAAAAACTTAATGATCCATCTATTTTGACTTCCTTGTGTTCTTGTTGTTTTTAGTGCTTGCTGAGATAAGAAGGTTCTTATTGAAATAATTCATCTTCCTGTTCCACATGATTACTAACTGGCTGTTCAGTTGTTTTCCAAATATGTTTGGTTTGTTTTTATGAATGTTATCAGTATTCTTTACTTGCTCTTGAAACATTATAGATATATCTTAACTTGTTTGCTACTTTGCTTAACATTTATTGCCCTTATTATCACGCAGGCTAAACATATGTTAATACCTTACATGCCAATGTTGATACCTCCAAAAAAGTGGAAAGGGTACGGCAAATGACTTGGATCATGCTAGTGTGTGTGTATTGGAAACTTGTTGTCAATGAGCTCAAGAGGGGAGTAGTGATATTGTTTCATGCAATGACTTGGTTGTGGTTGAAAAGTGGTTCAATTGGGATTTTTAACAAAATTTAAAATAATTATATGAATAAACATATATATTAAAATATAAATGGAAAATTACATCCAGCCCCCTCCGAAAGGAATTAATCACAGATAAGGACTAACGACAAGTTCTATTCAAGAAAAAACAAGTCATGTTCCCATTTTAATAACAACTCGTTCCGCATTGGTCCTTATCTGTGATTAATTCTCTTTGGAGGGGGCTGGATATGATTTTTCCAAATATAAAATAACTAAATAATCCTTCCAGTTCTATTTATAAGACACCTTCGAGAAGTAATTTTTAGTCTAAAATATAGGGCACTTTGTATTGATTAAACCATTTTTTCCAATTTCACCCCTTTTTGATTAGTGTAAAAGTATTTAATGTAGTTGTATTATTATTTAAATAAATCCAAGGGTAAAAATGAAAGTACATATTACTTTTTTTATGATATCAAGAAAAAACTGATTTTTCTTAATATACATGAAACGATTGAAAGTATCTTATAATAAGGACCAGAGGGAGTAAAATATAACTAAGGGTTTTATTCTATGATATATTGTTAGCTGCTAGAAAAATAAGGGAAAAAAATTGCAAATCATCCATTATGTTTGTCCAAATATTTTTTATTGATGGGATAATGATAATAGTGTCAAAACATTTCAGTCTTTTAGTTTATTGAGTTATATTTTATCCTGTTATTAGGTCCAATTGATTTATTTCTATAACGGAATGGAAGAGAAATTTAACCAAAGAAAAAGTTATTTTAACAGGGGACAGCCCTTATGGCCATTTTGATAAGTAATAGTTATGATAACCAAGACATTGTTGAGTAATGATTATGAGGGAATAATAGACATCGCAAATAAAAGAAGGAATTGCCTTTCCTTCTTGATGCTATACAGGCTGGGATAACAAAATTTCAAAACTTTTATCTTAAAAAAGATTTTCCTGATAATGGCTTGAAAATTGAAAGTATACTTTGTTGGCTAGATCATAAAAAAATTATGATCAGTTTATTTCTTGAAACAATAATTTTTAATTATCATAAAGTATATTATGTAGTAAATATATTATAGATAACTTACAAGAAGCATATAGGAATGGTTATAGTCCTCTTTGTTTGCAGACCTAAAGGTTGGGGTTTCAAGCCAATTATTAGCATTTTGAAGCAAATAAACTATATATATATATATATATGTTAACTACTGGAATACAAGGCAATTGTGAGGCCTATATGTCAACCTATAGCAAACCTGTCAAATTGGTTAGCTGTGGTCAGTCCTCATAATTCTTGACCGCTGGTTACAGGTATTGAACTGAAAGGGCTCAAGGACCACTTTTCAGTTGGCTGGTCTGATGTTGAGAACAGTAGGTTTTGTCTTGTGTTGCATGATTCATTGAAAAGCATGTATTTGATTAGGTTTATGTGACTATAGCACTGTTCTGATCCTTGGCAAACCAAAGAAAGAAGAAGATAATTAATCAGAAGATTGAAACTGTAACTGGTTCTCTCCTCCCTCTTCCCCCTTCTAAGATCTTCCAAAACTCTTTCCAGATATGACAAAGGTGGACACTTGTTCTTGCCTTCTTATATTATGCGCACTCATGGATCTAGAAAGCAACAAAATGTAATGAAGAATGTCAAAGGGGAACAAATGCAAAAAGTTTTTGAGGTATTATATGTAAAGATGCATTTTCCTTTTTCATTGCCTAAGAAAGAATGAGGTGGTATTTTACAAGGTCTGTGCATTTTTATTGGTATAACATTGGAACAGTAGTCAGGAACCTTTTTTAAGTCATTACAAGATAGTTAATTCTAAATTTAGTAATTGTTTAAAAAATTTATTATATACATACCCATTTACTTATGCTTTTACATTTGCAACACTTTGGATAGTACCCACTGGATTAATATTTATATATATAGACGTATGTATATTTGTTAGGCATAATTGCTTCTGCTTCTTCAATAGTAACTTCATCTTGATATATAAGCTTGACTTGTTCTTCATTTAACTGAAACATTTTAAGGCTTTGGATGTGCTTGGAAATACCAAATGGCGAATAAATAGAAGATTGCTTGGTGTTGTTGAGACAATCTGGGGTGGAGGAGGTAACATTGCAGGCCTGGTTGATCGTCAAGATGTAAGCACAAACTTTCAAAGAATTCTGTAAGATTAAGGGTGACACATAATAATAGAAGTCTTCATAAAAGAATTTTTTGTTCATTTGAGTATTTATTTGCCTATTTTACCCATTTCTTCTGAAAATTATATTACAACAACAACAAGTCTTATCCCGCTGAAATTATATTAACAGAATTAAATTTAAATCGTTTTATACTAACAACTTTTAATAAATTCTGATATTATTTGCATTAGAGAGTGACTTTTTAGATCATTTGATGGCCCTAAACAACTGTGTGTTGTTAGGATTCTTATAAACAAGAGAAGTTTTCTTTTAACAGGGATTTGAATATGTCACGACTTATTGGACAAAATTGGTTTGGTCTAATGCAGGCCACATGAACACCATACGCAACTTCTCTAATAAGCTTGAAATATGATGAATTCCTGATATTATTGCCTGGTGATTCATCTGACCTACATATATTCTCCTTTTGGATTGGTAGGTTCCCATACCAGAAAAGCCATTCATTGAGGAATTAAAGCTAATTCAGGAGTGGAAATGGAGGGTGAGGAAGGCAAAGAAAATTAATCTAGAGAGGCATGCTCAAAGATGTGACACTGAGCTTAAGCTTTCGGTAAGACCTCCCTCTTATTGTCAGATATCCTTGGATATTAGTTTTGAACAATTGAAAATTTTTGTCATTACATCAACAACCTATCTTCTAGCCTACTTCTTGGATTCCCAAATGCTGTTCAGTATGACCATAGACACATTTGTCAATCATGAATGGCATAATTTCAATTATTTTTTGTATAATATATCTATCCCATCTAGATGAGTAATAATCAATAATAAAATACATTTTGATACAGGTGGCCCGAAAAATGAAAGATGAGGAAGGTTTTTACTATCCCCACAATCTTGACTTCCGTGGCAGAGCATATCCAATGCATCCTCATTTGAATCATTTAAGTTCTGATCTGTGCCGAGGACTGCTTGAGTTTGCTGAAGGACGGCCATTGGGGAAGTCCGGACTAAAGTGGCTGAAGATACATTTGGCGAATTTGTATGCAGGTGGTGTTGAAAAGCTGTCTTATGATGGACGTCTAGAATTTGTGGAGAACCATCTTCATGATGTGTTTGACTCTGCCGATAACCCAATTAATGGTAAGCGATGGTGGTTAATGGCTGAAGATCCTTTCCAATGCCTTGCTGCTTGTTTCAATCTGTCAGAAGCCTTAAGAAACTCATCACCACATGCTGTTGTCTCACATCTGCCAATTCATCAGGTAATTGGAGGCTTTAAAGTCTATTAGAAGTGTTATAATTTTGCAGGCTTATTTTATTAGGTGTCAAATCAGCCACAAACTCTTCTGTCTTGATATGTGGCACAGAGAAACATTGTAGGAGATCTTTAATGAGAACGTACTACCTGAAGGTATACATTAGGTTAAGGAAAGAAAAATAAAAAGTTGAAAATTTTGGTCGCAAAACACTAGAGCTAACTGCATAATTGCCTCTTCTCAGTTCGCATCATAGGTATCTTTACCTTATTTATTCAGCTTTCTTTTAAAAAATGTTTGCTTTATCTTTTGTCTTTTAGTATTGGTGACACTATTCTGCTATATATTTAGGATGGTTCCTGTAATGGCTTACAGCACTATGCTGCCTTGGGAAGAGATTGTGTAGGTTTACTTAACTCTTCTTCACTTTTGCAATTACTTTACTATTCTCTGTGCTTTCTTTCACTTAAACATTTTTATATTCACTGAATTTTTTGATGATCTTAAGTATGAATGTTTGTTTCTTTTCTGTCACTGTCACAAAGAATTTAGAAACGTTCAAACGTCAGTGTCGTGTGTTAAGATAACCAATTTTTCTTAACACCTGCAACATCATATCAAGACAGCTTGCTTAATGCATAATAAATGTCGTCTATACATGGTAGTCTTAGCACACCATAATGAATCGGCGATTTTAACATGCCATCTTGTGACCAGGAATGTTAACTGTAAAGTATATACAGCTGCTATTTTATTTTATTTATAAAGTTAGCTTCTGATAATTAATTTCAGTTGCATCTATTATTGTCATCTGACTGGATTAAATCTTCTATCAGTTGGAGGCTGCTGCAGTTAACTTGGTTGCTAGAGAGAAGCCGGCTGATGTTTACTCAGAGATTGCTGTTAGGTATGTCGAGTCCATTGATTGCAATTGGGTTTTTCTTTTTAACCTCTGTTAATTGCAAGTGCCCGTCATTGGAATGACTATACTTGAGAAGGCTCTCTTATTTGCGAAGGAAGTTTCCAAATTACTATGGATGATTAATATTGCATTGTTGCTTCAATTATAAATTATAAATGTGGGCAGGGTTCATGATATTATGATAAAGGACAGCAAAGAAGATCCTACTACAAATCCAAAAGCTTTATTAGCAAAGGTTTTAATTGACAAGGTCAGTATTCTTTTTAAAGGGTGAAGATATGCATATGACAAAATTTGTGGTCCGATAATTGGCTTGAATCTCTGTTGTCTTTCCTCTTACACTTAAGTCTCATATACTTTCAGGTTGATAGGAAACTAGTCAAACAGACAGTTATGACTTCTGTCTATGGTGTTACTTTTGTCGGGGCAAGAGAGCAAATAAAAAGAAGATTGTTGGAGAAAGGCCTCACAACTGATGACAAACTTATATTTGATGCAGCTTGCTATGCTGCGAAAGTAAGCATCCATCTGTTGAATGTGAGGATTAAATTTTAGCTGTCAGAGACTGTTATGGATTCCTTATATGTAATCATTATCGTCTAATTATGGAATCAGCCCTGTTGAAGTGTTTTGTGAGTTGACTAGTTATTTTTTATAGAAGAAGAGAGGAGTGTAGTTGTGTACATTTACTTTTAACGTAATCTTTGGGAAACCATGCCCAAATAAAAGCTGAAATGGAGTCAATCATTTCATAATATTGTATTTTTAGTTGGGTGCTCATTTTCACCAGGGTTTAATTCAATTATGCTATAAAAAATACATATACCCTATTTTACGTTTGTATGACCATATAAAATACTATGGTTTAAGCTGTTTGTGTCATACTTAGTCATGTGATCAATGATCATCCTTGCTTTCTTTAGGTGACCTTGGACGCGCTTGGGGAAATTTTTGAAGCTGCGCGTGGCATTATGAATTGGCTTGGTGATTGTGCAAAGGTACACACCATTGTCACATGAAATAGTGCCGACCTTTCTTGGTTTTGAAACTTTTTTATGTGGTTTATGTATTTGCATCCTTTATTTTCTTTTCTTTTTTTTTTTTAGGTGATTGCCTCTGACAATCAGGCTGTTCGGTGGACCACTCCTCTTGGTCTTCCCGTTGTACAACCATACTGTAAAACTGAACGTCATCTGGTAAGCCATCTGCATAGACCTTTTCCCTTCCGTAACATATTGTCATGATCATTTGACATGTGCACTTGTTGGTGCCTTGGTGTTTCTCCCCTCATTTCAGCAGGTGCAACCCTATTTTGGATTGTTGATCGTAAATCTGAATGACATGCTTTTAATTTATATATATATGTATATATATAATATCCATTTTGGTAGCTTGAAAGAGAAAGTGTTAAGGCTTGTATGCTACTTGGAGGTCCATTTGTTCAATTGCAACTCAACTGTGGAAAAGAAGGAAAAGAATATTTTTGCACTTAGGCAGTATAATCGAGATATATCAGTCAGTCACTTATATGATACACGAGTACTAAATTATTTGAGGTGGCAATAGCACTCTTGCATTGGAATTAATGACTTAAATGCCGGACGACACCATGGTTCAGGAAAGCAAAATTCTTTGTGTTGTATACTTCATTGCTGTTATTAGCTGTAGAAACCCATGATAGGTGCCAATAAATATGAATTTGATTCAAATTGTGTAGTTTTTTTTCTCCTCGAGTAAAAAATTGTGCTATTATTAGACTTGTTATTAAACCGTTTTTTAGCCCTTATTTTGAAACACTAGAATAATGGATCTTACCATACCATGTAATGCAGGTCAGAACATCTCTTCAGGTTTTGGCTTTGCGGAGGGAGGGTGATGCAGTAAGTTGTTTTTTTTTTTTTTGGTAGGCCAGCTACTCATGTCAGTCTGTCTTTATGAACTAATGAACCATTTGCTTGTTACTTAAATTATACTATGGTATTCCAGGTTCATGTCAGAAAACAGAGAACTGCATTTCCTCCTAATTTTATACATTCGCTAGATGGTTCACACATGATGATGACTGCTCTTGCCTGCAGGGATGCTGGCTTGCGTTTTGCAGGTCTGAAAATCTAATTTTACCTATGAAATTATAAACAGTCATTTGTTAAACCTCCTGTCAAAGTCAATAATTTTGATTCTATACTAGTATTTTAGATTTTGAAGTGTAAAAATTTGCATGTATGTTTGTGGCGCTTAAACTTCGTAAAATAATTTGTGCTTGCAGGGGTTCATGACTCATTCTGGACACATGCATGTGATGTGGAGAAAATGAATCAGATTCTTAGAGAAGAATTTGTGGGGCTTTATAGGTCGCCCATACTTGAAAATGTAAGTCCTTGCCTTCTGTCTGTATCATGAGAATTTTAGTTGATTTTGTGGGAATAGTTGGGGAGAAGGGCTATCCCGTTCTCTCATGATCAAATATATATGTATGTATGTATATATAAGCTCATTATCAAGACCTAAAACTTTAATAGAGAGACTGCCAAAGAATCTTATTATACTCTAACTGCATCGGATCTCCATATACATTGAAAGTGTCCCTATTAGTAGCTACTTAGCCATTTCCTTTTAGACCAAACGGTGGGATCAAACCTCATTATTTGTTTATTTTACACTTGTTATAATCCGGTCCTTAAAAAGAACCTTGTCATAATTGAATAATCAATAATTTCGCAGTTGCTGGAAGACTTTCAGAAATCATACCCAGGATTGACGTTCCCTGGACTGCCAGAGAGAGGTGATTTTGACTTGCGGAAGGTTCTTGAGTCACCATACTTTTTCAACTGAGCATTTCTCCACCACAATCATGAGTTTCCACATCAACATTCTTACCTTCCATTACAACCTGTCTCGGAAGCTTTGGTGGGAACAGTGACCCATGGTGCCTCCAAGAAATGCCAAGGAAAGAAAACAGACCCCAAGGGTATTTTCCAGAACTCTTATGTTGCTAGAATGCTCAGAACAGTACTATGATCTTCTAGGTGCTGATTCAGGTGGATATAAAGCTTCATTGCCTGTTACACCATGTAGAGAATGGATTCCCAGTAAGATTTTTTTGTTTGCAATTTTGTTCACCGGCTCTGCTGCTTAATGGACAGTGGCATTTTCCATGTGAGACATTCCTAGAGATAGACTCTGTGTATAAAAATAAGAACAAATCAATCAGATATAGGATATTTGAACATGTCAGAAGTAGGCTTTACTGAAAAGTGAATTTAGTAGGTTCATGTGTATATTCTTAACTAGTGAGTTTTGCTTCTCTGTTGTAAACTTTAGTCTAATATCTTTCTCTACTAGATATGTGCCAGCAGCCTGACAATGCAAATTCAAAGCATTATTCTGTTTATGTGTATTATAATGTATGAATAGATTTATATTTTAGGGAGAATGACATTTTAGGCCCTCTAAAGGGATTTTATTATAATAAAGGCTCATCAGTTTTACATTGGATATTGCGTGTTAGTTGTTAAAAACTGAACCTTAACTTGTATTTTTCATTAGTGTTTGCTTAGAAATTTAACAAGTTGATATTCAGCTTTTAACAACATATATGTATTTTCACAATACTATATTTGATAAAATAATTTATAGGCTTTATTATGATAAATTTTCTTAAGAAGGCCTTAAATGTCATTCCCTTTTTATTTTATTGGAGAGGAGCAAAGGATGGAAAGTTGCCGTGATTTATCATATGATTATGCATTTTCAAAGTGCATTTCTGATACTAATGATAACAAGAAGAAAGTGAAGGAAGAGTGAGAGAAAATAGGAAAATGACTTCCAACAGTATTCTTATTTCCTAGGCTTCCGACTACAATGCTGTACAGTCTTGTAGACTTGGTAGTAGACAACAAGTAACAATCGGCTATCAACTATCAACTAAACATGAAACTTTCTAACCAACTGCTTCACAATTTCACCACGTAGTCCTCTTAACAAGTAACTAATTATCCAGTGGTTACAGGAAAAGAAAACTTTTGCAAGCAAGAATTCTGAGGACTGATTCATGACTAGCGTTAATGCAGCTAATAATTGCATACTAAGTTGTGTAGACCTTGAGAAGTTTTACAAATCAGAATAAATTATACTGTAGACTATAGTTGTAGATGAAATACAGGCACAATAGGATAACCATAAATGTTGTACAGTCTTATAGATTTTAAGTATGCCTGTAGCTGGAAACAACAATTCTTTTTTCTTCATTTATTATTCTAATAATCGATTTCTCATCCCCCAGATATTTCATCATGACAAAAATGCTTGTAAGTATTTGTTATCAGAGTGTTCAATAAACATAACAAGGAAAATATACTTCTTGCGATTCAATCATGAAAATGCTGAATCATAAAGGGGAGAAAATCCAAGTCACGTTTCATTGAAAGTTTAATATATAAATGCTTGAAATTTATGCTTAAATTTTGACCATTTCTCTGTGCCGCCAAATACTTCCTATCCTATGATCCCATCTGTCCTCTTATTGCCCTTGCAGAGTTGCAGTCAACATCTTGTACCACTATTCCCCTGAAAAGTCAAGACCTCTGTAATCAATATCAGAACTTAAGTCATTGGCCAAAATTCTACTGAGATTTCTTAGCCAAAAAAGAAAAAGTTCGAACTTGAGGTCACAGGATGTAGGAAGCAAATTAATGAATTAACACTCATTCTTCAAAATGCAAATATAACGTTATATCCACAGAAGCAAAGAAGGATTTGTCCTGTAATATTTTACGGAAGCATGATGTCAGCAAATTGTGTAAGTTTGAGAACTATTATTACTCTCTTTTTTTAAAGGTAGAGAAACTGATAATATCCAATTAACTGAAGTTTGTATGCAGTGATGAATTTAGGGGGTGTGGCCCCCACCCCAATTTTTTTTTAAATAAATATAATTTTGTTTTTTAAAAAATGTAAAAATTATTGTTAGCTTTCCATATTTGGATAAAATTTCAGTTAGAGCCCCCCGCATTTAGATAAATTTCAATTATGGCCCCCCATGTAATTAATTCTAGATTCGTCCCTGTTTGTATGGATTATCTCCCAGAAAAAGTAGACACTTTGTCAAGGAATTTTTAAGAATACAAGATCACAAAATCACTCGATCAAGTGATAAAATCTTAAAAGGATGAGCTATTCAAATACAAAGTAGCAAAATCAAAATAGACAAATATTTTAAAAAAAATACACACATACATATCTTACCAAGGAAGTTAAAGGTCAGATTGTAGTCTTATTTATAAGACACATTTTAAAAGATTTATTTAGTCTCATTTATAAGTTACAGTGTAAATTTTTAGGTAATATTTAAAAAATATTTTTAAAATTACCTTTTACAAAAGAAAAAATAAAATGATATCACTTTATATTTGTTATAAAAGGATATATTTGAAATTTTACACTTCTATTCCTTTTATTTTTTTTTTGCATTAATATTGATAAATTTGGTAGAAATAATTTATAAAGAGAATCAAAGGAGTACTTGGACCTGTAATTCATGATATTATTCAGAGAAGCACGATTGAAAGGCCCAAGACCACATCGAGGATGCAGTTTTATGAAATTTACAACTTCAACTGCTTCATCCACAGTGACCATTTAACAGCCTCTAAAATCTTATCATTTCTTCTAAGAGCCGTGATAAGATTATTGTAGGTTATGCAGTCAGGTTCAATTCCATTTTCTCTCATCTCCTTAATCAAATCTACAGCATCTTCGACCATTCCAGCAATACCATATGCTTTGATCAATGTGTTATAGCTGTACAAATCAGGTCCAAGTCCACATTCTCTCAGTTCGCTGAGAACACTTGCGACTTCATCAATCCATCCTTGATCTCCATAAATATTGATCACAGTGTTGTATGTGTAGTGGTCAGAGGTACATCCTGACTCCTTCATTTTCTGCAATACGCTTCTAAAAGTCTCCATTTGACCATCCTTTCCATAAGCATCTAGCATTGAATTGTAGGCTTCCAGGGAAACTTCAAAGCCATCAAATTTCATCTTCTGGACAGTTGATGACATGTTTTTGAAGTCCTTGTTCTTCCCAAATGCAGCTATAATAGTATTGTAAGAAATCACGTTCGCCAGGCCCCGCCTTTTAGCCATGAAGAACAACCTCTCCGCCTTCTTGAATAACTTGGCTTTTCCATAGACATCAAGCATGACATTGAAGGTAATTGTATTAGGTGAAAATCCACGCTGAAGCATCTCATCAAAAAGCCTGGTAAGCTCATCTACAGGCACAGCACGTGCACAGCAGTTCAGGATGCAATTATACATTTCCTGGTCCCAATTCACTCGATCTTTTGAGATTTTGTAGTATAAATCAGATAATTTATCCAGCATACCACATCGTTGATAAGTGCGGAGCATATCACGTAACAGAAAAACATCTGGAATGATATCTGGTCGCTTGTCAATTTCATCCAGAACAGAGCAAGCATCTTCAAAAGATCCAGCTTTGACATACATTCTTACAACAACGCTGAAAGCAATCATATCCAGGGAGGTTTCCAAAGATTTCAACTTCAGATAGAGTTTTTCTGCTTCCTCGAAGAGACCCATGATACAATAAATGTCAATCATAGTGCATGAAATGTGCAGGTTTGGCTTGTCATCATGTTTGGGCATTTGACTGTACATTTTAACAGCGTCTTGAAGCAAGCCTACCTCTTTACACAAGCAAATAATCAGATGATACAAATTATCCTCATAATGAGGATCATTCCACTTTTTGTCATTCAATACTTTCAAGGCCTCATCCACCAATTGATGTTTTATATAAGCCATGACCAGAGTTGAGCAAGAATTCTGGTTGACTAAAATGTGCTGATAAAACGAATCTTTCAGCAAAAGTGGCACTTTATCAACTCTTCCAGCTCTCTCATATGCTTGTAAAAGAATCCCAAGAATAGAAGAATACTGGCATCCAGTCTCCAGCATATCATTAAGGGTTGTCATGGCACCCTCTTCATCTGCATGTTTGGCTTGCAATTTTATCAATGTGTACAGGTTGGAGGAATTGGGCATGTATCCCAACCGTTTCAGCTCACCATAGTACCTTCTTGCTTGTTCAAAATTACCAGCTCTACCCCAACCTTCAATCATTGAACGGTAAGTGGTTTCATCAGGATCCATCCCAACATTCTGCATATTCAGAAAAAGGCTCTGAGCAGCATCCATGTTAGATGCCTTCCCGTACCCAGTTATCATTGTATTATAAGCAATGATATTGGAGGAAAGCCCTGCTTCTTGCATTGACATAAATACATTTTCAGCATCCTTCATTTTGCCTTGCTGGCTATAAGCATTTAGTACCGCCAACCAATTTCCCAGACTAAGAGGCACCTTATCTTCTGTCATCAACCCAATAATTCCTTCTGCTTTCTCATACAATCTTAAACGGGTATAAATAGTAATCATCGCTGAATAAGCAGATTGACATACAATCCCGAAGCTCCTCATCTTTGAAAATGTGAACTCTGCCTCATCAACATTCCAACCCTTCTGATAAAGCCCCATGAGCATACCAAAGGTCGCAATATTTGGACGAACACCAGAGTCTAACATCATTTGAAACCATCTTGCACCTAGCCCCACAAGACCCCGTTTGGAGCATGCGTAGATAAGCGTGTTAAAAACCTGAAAATTCAATTCAGAACCAAATTTGCTTCTCATTTCCTGAATCATTTTCTCCGCAGCATCCCAGTTCTCTCTCCTACTTAACATGCGAATAATCACATTATAAGCACCAATATTCTGTTCTAACTTACCATTGCTCGTCATCCACTGAAAAAACACCAGAGCTTTGTCATCACTTCTTTTTTCAAGCCTTTTCAAGATCGCGTTACAAAGTTCAGAGCTCAAGTCAACCCGAATGGAAGAGTAATCTACATCAAAATCACCATCATATACAAAGAACTCGTCTATATCGAGTGTGCCATCTTTCCTTTTGTATCTAAATTTCAAATCCACTTCAAATTCTCTGTTCGCTACCTTCTTTGCTACCCGAACTTTCTTCCCAGGTTCAAATCTCGAGTTCAGATTCCCCTCGTCCAAACCGTCATCGGAAACACCGGATAGCTCATTTTCGAGCCTAGAGACTTGGACGTATTTGATCCTGCTCAAAGAAACGAAAGCGCAAACTCGAAGCGCATGAAGGGAACTGGAAGAAGGCGAAAAGCCGGAGCTACGATCAGCAGAATTCAAAGGGAAATTGGCCTTCTTTGAATCAAAGGTGTCCAAAGAAACTGGAAACCTAAGCAAGGCCATGAATTTACATGGGCACTAAAAAGTAGAACAATTCGATACAGTAAAATCCATGGAAGAGGAAGCGTTCAATTGAGCTAAACGAGGTGACCAAGGAGGAAGCTGAAGCTGAAGCTGTGGGTGGAAACCAACATGTGGAGGCACTTCAATGACCTTGTATGTTTTATCCTTTCATCTCTTCTTTGCCGTGTGTTGAGACCACAGAATACATGCACTGCCTCATTAGGACTGTAATATACTAGCCAAGTTTAATTTGTTGGAGGATTTGGGTTATTTCATTAGTATTTAATAATAATAATTTGAAAGAATGAAAAAAAGACAGACTTTACTGGAAAGGTTTAATTTTTGTCCTTGGCGAAAAAATTGACAAGGATAATTAAAACTAACAAATAAATTGTACTTGTAACAATTAGTCAATTATGCCATTATTTATTAAATATTATAAAATATTTTTAATTAAATCACATCCACAATATATTAATTAATTAATTTTAAAATTAAATAGATTTTTAATATTTGTCTTTATTCAATAAAATGCCTCAATCAGAAAATATTATTAATTATATCATTCAAAAAAAATTAGAAAAACTTTATTAATTGAAAATATATTATATTTTTTAACATTATCTTATTTTTTTTTAACCTAAGTAGTAACTTAGACAATATCATAAAAGGGAAGCATGGCAATGGTTTTAACTCTTTTAATATTACAAAAACAGTATAATATGTTTTTTTAGTTGATAAAATTGGGCAATGTCTTCAACTTCAATGGCATAGACTGAAAAAACACATGCACTTTGGTTGACAATTATTTATTTGTTTTTCAATTGAGAAAACAAATTATAGGCTATTTTTTTCCCTTTTCCTTCCCTCTCAAATGCCCTCACCTATTCATAACAAATTTTTATTTTAAATGACAATTTGAAAAAAATAATTATCATCAGAAAATATCTGGTCTTTTTCTCTCTCTACATCTCGGGTTTTGCGGTATTCTTTGCATAATACTAATGCCCTGTTTAGTTTGTTAAAAATAAATTTGATGGAAATAAAAATAAATATAAAAGTTAATATAAATATAAAAATGAGTTTTGAAAATATGTTTATATGAAATTGAAAGATTATTTTTATTTAATATTAATATTTGAAATTTAAAAAGACTAAAATGCCCTCACGCCAACAAATTTTGCTCAACCCAAAACCACTATCCACCATCGTCGATTCATTGTCTTGCCACTCAGACCCCCAGTGAAGAACCACTGTCCACCATTATACCAAATATGACATTTGATTTCATCTAGTTCCCACATCCACTGCCATTCAATTTCACGATTTCACCATACCATAAACAAAATTGAAAATTGAAATTCAGACCAAACCAAAAATTGAAACCGAAATCACTCACCATAAATCAAAATAACCAAACTAGAAACAAAATCAAAATAGTGGAGCCACAAAAGACTTCAAATTCAACCAGATATTGGAAATGACGAAAATCAAAGAAAGATATGCAGAGCAGAGACACCCACCTCGTCCACCTTTCACAGCGATGCCATCACTGTCTTTGGCCGTCATCGCTGAGGTCTTCCTTACACATGATGGGGTTTCAATCGTTGACAAGATGCAATATTCAAAAATCATGAAGGAGAAGCAAAAATCGAATGCCAAAGGCAAAAGAGATCATGAAGAAGAAATCATAAGCAGAAATCACAAAGAAGAAATCCTTATTGTTGGTTGCAGATGCCGGTGTCAAAATTGCAAAGAATTCACTGATTGTAGATCCTAGACTTAGCTCGCTTAGGACTCCATCTTCATCATCTCGCCTAGTAAAGGCAACAATCCAGGTCCTTCAGCGAGTTCTTACTTGGATAAACAATGAGCGGTGGAGGAGAGTTGATTGGTGCAGAGGAGTGAGAGGAGGGAGAAGATATGTGACATTAAAAGTTTGTTTGGTTGAAGGAAAAGGAGGATTGGGATTTTGCTTTCCTTCCCTCCAAATTGAGAGGATTGAAAGAGGAGAGATATAATTGTTATATAATGACTAATATATTCATTATTTTAATTGGTACTTTTCATTTTTTAATAATATATTAATCTATATATTTAACAATAATATTTATTCTATATATTTATAATTATATTTTATTAAAAAAATTAATAATATAAGGGTAAAGTTATCTATATATTATTTCTTCCTCTCTTTTTAAACCAAACAATGTAACATTAAAATTTTTTTCTCTTCTCAAATCAAACAAGCCCTAAGAATGGTTCAATAGGAAGATAGGACGAGATGAGAAGGGAAAGATAAAAAATGAAAAAGGACATGCGGAATTGCAAAATTGAATTTTGATAAAAATAGTTTTTATAAATTTAACCTCATTTTAACCAACCAAACATAAAAAAATGTTAATTTCATTTCCCTATTAATTTTTATCTTTTCAATTCTATCGTACTAAACAAATCCTAAATCTTTCATGTCGAATTTTGACATGTCAAGTAATAAAAATATAAAAGAAAAAAGATTATACTATTAAAATAAGAAACACATTTCACAAGACTTGAATTGCTTATATTCAATACATTGAGTTCTTTGGTGCATCATATCATTTATATCCCATCCAATAAAATTGATGTGTCATTATTTTTAATAATTTTATTTTTATAATAAAATGCCTATTTAATTCTTGCATCTTCATTTTCTATTATCACTAATATCAGAATTAATTTATTTTTAATATCATCTGATTGTGATGTTTTTATTGAATACTCCATGGATGACATGGTACGACAGGTCCACCTTAGAATTTCTTTTCAAAGAAAAAAGGACATACAAAAATCAATAATAACCATTAAGTACCATAGAATCTTGAAATTGAATTTAAGTACCTTAATCATTTTTGGCATTTTACAAATTATTGTTATGACTAAATTATCCCTAAAGTAAGTGACAAGCAATGGAAGTAGCCCGTACAAAAACAGTGATCTTGTGTAAGTTGTGCTAGTTCTCATACAGCAAAGAGTGGACACACGATGAATGAACAATGAAATTAGAAGCAAGACCGGTTCAGTAAAAAAAAAAAAAAACAAAGAATTTATTGAAGAGTCTGAAGTGAAACAAAAATGAAAACGTGCATTTTCAAGAGGCACTGAGAAGGTGAAGGTCAAGGGAAGGCATGGAAGTTCCAGCAAGGAAGGCTTTGATGAGAGCAAGAGCATATTTTGGTCTGTGCAGAGGAACCTCATGCCCTGCTCCTCTTACTGCTACAAAAGTCAGACCTTCATATTCCTGTGTCCATCCTCCCACCTGTTCACAATTTTGAGACATTTATCACCTGTGACTTTTATTTATATATAGTTAGTTAGCACGATATCAAGTTAGATAGGGATGCTACAATTTTTAGTCCCTAAATTATTATTTTTTTTAATTATCAATTTAGTCCCCCAATTTGACTCAATATAACTGACTGTAATGATTCAAAAAAACCATAAGGACTAAATTGTTACAATTTAAAAAGCTATAAGGACTTAGTTATCCTGAGTCAAAACTCAAGGACTGAATTGATGATTGAAAAAAAGGTCAAATAACAAAAATATTTTCCTGATTAGATATTTCACAAAATTTCTTCCATATATTGAAGAATCTAATGCCCAACATATTGAGATCCTCTGCAGTATTGCACCAAACATTTAGCAGACTGACAAGTAAATATGTGTACCAAATATATTTCTTCTTTTCCAACTCACTCCTCTCTCTCTCTCTCTCTCTCTCTCTCTCTCTCTCACTACACATTTTATATTTACTTGCTAAATGCATATGACAAACACAGCCTAGGAATTTCAGTATTTCACCTAACGGCTAGTCTTTATAAGAAGCAATTCATTTGCCAAGTCTAACAACAATAAATAAATATAAAACTAATAATAATAATACTAATGAAACCCCCTAGGTGCAATCCACACTGTAAGTAAAGGGTGTTATTAGTTAGCTGTAGACCTTAAATTTAAATTGTCGTCTCATCATGTATCAAATTTTTATAGTGATAATGCAAAAAGCATACAATACCAAAAAATATTCCTACAGGCTATACCTATTTCTTCTTCTTTTTTTTTTGCAATAATAAGGGACTGATTACTATGCCTCAAAGCCTATCCATTTACATTATCTTTCCAACATAACTAGCTAGGGGGAAAAAAGATGTTGTGCAATCACTTACCTGACCATCGTCGTACCAAGGACGCCAAGGACTCACAGTTTTAAGCTTCAGAGCATCAATGCTGTAGCGAGTGGATGTCACTGGGATCACAGCATCTGTATCACCACTGTCATATGGGAAGAGAATCAATGATTGGTGGAAGAAATAGTGAATGAAGAGGAAATGCAAGTATATGATTTTCAGGAAGGTTTAGTTTCAATCACATTCTGCATGAAAAGTATGGCCTTTAAGTTCCAAATCACATGCATTTCCCACCATGTTAAAAGAGTTGAGAACCAAATATGTCATTAAGAAATGTTTTTTTCTTATATGTTCCAAATAACAGGAAAATAATCACGCAATTATTCCACACAACTTTCTAAATTACTGACAAGATATAATGCACCAAACTATGTAAAGTTGCCAGCCTAATATGCAAAACCTGCACTTTGCTATCTGGTATGGACACTGGCAGATGCTTGAGGAAACATCAGTTCTGAGGAAAAAACTAAATCCATACTTCAGAGCTTTATTTGATGCAATTCAGTTCCATCAAATCTTGCGTTAGATTAAGATTTTGAGTCATCATGTCTAAGGCAACATGACATCAGTGGTGAGTGAACTTGGCTTGAGGTATCTATGCACATGGATATACAAGTGTATGCATGAATGACAACAAGCATATATGTGGCTATGATTGTGTTTTGTGTGTCTTTCTACTTGGTACAAATCAACCAAATACATTAAACATGCGGAGAATAACCTGAACATCCATATCCTCAGTCCTGTCTGAATAAGTTCACGGTAGACATCAAGCACTGTCAATGGAGAATCCTTCCAGTTCATATTTACATCGTCACTGCAAAACATTGAGAGAGTAAGACACATCTTACATACCCTACAATTCAAAGCAGTATATAGCACATGTTCAACTTGAGCTTCATAATAACTTGATAAAGAAAGGATGTCAGCAAGGTGCTAAAGTGTTCATCTTATTTACTAGTTAAACATATGAAGGGAAAATTTCAAGTCACTTGGTTTTTTAATCTTGTACAGCAATAAATAAGATGGATTCTGATCAATCACCTGGAATGCCTGAGCATATTTGTTCTTTTATAACGCACATTCAATGGGAAAACATATAGATGCTCTTAAAGTGTATCCCTAATGATAATAAAATACCTGCAGGTCTCCCATTTAGCAGGCTTGTAAGCTGGATCAACATGAAGAGCTTTCTGGACCTCAGGTAGATTGAAGTATATAGTGGAGTGCTTCTCAGTGCAAGGATCGTATACCGCTCTGAGCCTGCCAACTTTCTACAACATGACATAACATACCGGCAAGAACATGTCACGTGATTCCATATTTATGTTCACACATATTTCTGATTATCAGATAGTTGTGTTTAGAATGAGAAGAAAAAGGAAATAGACAGAGAATCAATAGTATTAAGTTTAAGGAACGCTCACATGCTTTCTTTTCACCAGCTGGTTTGTCTGGCTAACATTAGCAGGGCATGTAGGAGTGAAGATACTATACTGATCAACGTTACCAACTTCTTTGTCAGCATTCTCTAAAATTTTTACACATGAATCTGAAGGATTTAGGAAAGACTCAAGATCACATTGAAGATTCATTTGCTGATATGTTTGATCAGAAATCAAACCAGACGACCACAAAAACTGGGCAATTCCCTTGTGATCGTTGTAATCATCAGTTAGAGCGTTTCCTACCTGCAATAGAGTGGTAGACACACATATTATACACTGCATTGTACTGTGACAAGAAGCAGAATAAGGAATTATTTTTTTTGAGGAGACAAAATATATACCATGTAGCCTTTCAGTTTGATAGCTTTTTCCTTGGCATTCTTGTTGTACTTCACAATAACTTGGCTAAGTTGAGGAACATAATGCCCTGAAACACAGGTCCAACAGTTGATGCACACTAAGGTATCAGAGCAAGATGAAACCTCTATTGAGAAACTGAGCAAAGTGGAATCAAGGAGCCAAATGGTTTACATGTGAGCTCATCCCATCAATTTTATTTCCCTATGGTTGTTAGTATTCAAGTACAAAACTAAGCCATTTGACGACATAATCACTACTATTGAACAATGATTCTCAAAAATATCTGTAGGTTGTAGTCCTTTTTATCTATATATGAAAGAGGAATTTTGGAGTTTCACTTACCTGCATAACTCTCACCAGACACAAAGAAATCTCTTCCTTTGTACTGAGGAAAACGGTCGAACCAATTCAATAGGAATTCCAAAGAGTCCTCGGCTGCCAATGAAGAAACATCAAACTTGAGTGGCATAATATGTGTTGTGTGTGTGTGTGTGTGTGTGTGTTTCAAAACATAATTATCAGATACCAAACGGTCAGACTCATACCAGTCCTCCTATCGCCATTATTAAGTATGTCAGATGAAGTGTTTGAATACGAAAATCCAACTCCAACAGGAGAATCAACAAAAAGAATGTTGGCAACTAAGAAACAATACAAATAGTTAGATTGAGACATCTGAATGGAATCAATGGATAGGGCAACTTCTCGCAGTTTATGCTGCGGCATGCATGGTTAAGTTTTTTTTGACTGAACATGCATTGTTAAATTAATAAAGCTGATGGGCAAAATGGACACAGTGAACTGAGATATGAGAATGAAAACTTCCACAGTCATGAGACTGCATGATTTATAGGAGGCAAGACGACCAAAAAAGGGATGAATCTGTGAGGGACTTTAAGGAAATATTAACAAATACAACCTCGTAGGTGGTATTTTATTTACCTTGATTCCAAGAGTAAGGATTGAGATAGAGGGTCTTGCCATCTGGCTGAATGTGAAAGGGACCAATTTCCTCTGCCTCGCCGTAAGCAATGGATGAACATCCAGGTCCTATAGAAGACAGACATTTCACAACCTTAAAAGAACTATAAATCAAGGAAACAATCCTATAAAGCAAACGAAAGGTTAATGAACATAAATAAATGTTGACTGTTGTTGACCTCCGTTGAGCCACAGAACAAGAGGCTTCGTTTCAGGGTCCGAGGCAGCTTCAAAGAACCAGTAAAACAAAGCCCTCCCAGCTTCCTGGTTGACTGTGACATACCCAGCGTAATGTGCGAAGTCGACATTAAACGTTTGACCCGGAAGCCTATCAACCTTGTCTCGTTGTTGCTGGACAAACGGGTCTGATGACGACGTCCCCAAAGCGAACCCAGTATTCCCCTGGAGGCAAAGAATGGTGACTATTATCGGAAAAATCTGAGCCCAAAAAGCAAATAACTTGGGTTTTGCCATGTATATCGAAGAGGATCAATTCCTTGAATCCAGGACAAAAGGATGATTCTTTTCTGGTGCGTAATCCCCCGTTTTAAATGGAGCAGGATCTGGTGGTGTTGAGATGACAATGTGTGATCATCATGCTTGCCTCGCTGTTTTTTTGCAGATAGAATAAGTAACAACACCTTGACAGGATGTCAAATTATTCGGAGAAACGCATAGGCTCCCCCCCCCCCCCTTCGGGATTGAGACCAGGAGTTGGAGATCAAAATTTTATGGGTAAAAATTTCTTTTTTAAAAATACAATTGTATGCGTAGAGTAGAAGTCTAGGTAGAACAATTTCAGGAAGGAAAAAAAAAAAAACTATCCTTCCTTTAGACACCATGCTTTCCACGGACGGATGCTATAATCTTAGTTAAAAAAAAATACGAAATTATGAATTAATATATCAGTATTAATGTAATATAATATATACAGTAAATAGTGTTGAATTATTCCCAAAGCATCAGGGCTTCATTTCCCGGCATCGCGTGAACGATCATGAAGAGAAAATGACCGGATCATTAACACCACCTCAGAATGCCCATCATGAATAGTGTAAAATACTAGATGTTGTTTCGATTGTACTTATGCCGGTTTTATTTTATAAAATATATTTTAAAATTTTTTTAAAATTTTATTTATAAATTATGGTATGACTTTTTAAATAATATTTAAAAAAATTAAAATTAACATTCATGAAAAAAATAATATAATATTATTTTTAAAATTTATTATATAAAAAATATTTAAAATTTTATATATTTTTATTTTTTATATTAATATTAATAAAATTAAAAAAATAATTTATAAAGAAGAAGGAGAAGGTATTCCCAATTTAGTTGAGGTTGTACGCGTTCTTCTTGGGCCTACGCAAGGATTTTAAGTATGGTTCACGGCAAAGGAGCTTCCTTCACTCAGCATGGAATTATTTCATTGATTAGGACATTTTCTGCCTTTTACAGAACTTTCACAATTGGAATTTGGTATATTAAGCTTGGCGGTCTCAATGTGTCTTTCTTACCCTCTCCTGTTTTTCCTTGTTATTTTGTTAATCGGACTTTTAACACTCTTTGTAAATGTAAATTTTTCTTACTTTTGCCTTTGTACCAAAAGAGAAGGACAGGTAAGATGTTTGTGTGGTAGTAACTTCTTCTATTAATGCATACACACTAAAAATCTTATATTTAGTAAAAAGAACTTGTTATTCATAATGTGACAAACTAAAATTTAAATATTTATTGAAAAAGAAGTTCATAATCATTGCCAATAATGCTTGAAAAGAAGCTCGTATTTATTACCAAATAGTACTTGAATATGATTATAAAAAAAATACCATGGGTTCATTTGATAGATAGAATGATCTTTTTTTTTTTTCAATTTTCTTTGCATGCTCCTATTGAAAATAATCCCTTTTTAGATATGATCAAGTACCAAGAAAATGCAATGCAAGAAAAGTGTTTTATAAAAAAAGATAAAATAGGTGTTTTTTATTTTCTTTTTAACAAAGATTTTTTTTTTTACTTACTACACATTGCATACAAAGTAACCACATTTTTAAATGAGAATTCAAACTTTAATTCATCACATTATAATAGATTAGGTTTTTCTAATATACATAGACCCTTGACAGTCTTTTTGTTTGTTTTTTTTTTTTTTTGTTTTAACTCTTTGATCCAAAACTGGAAATTCTTTCTTGCAGAAATGTTAAAACTGTTTTTTTATTTTTTTTCTTTCGGTAAAGAAGAGGGCATTGCCTAAATTACATTATAAAATTAAACAGAAATAGGGGATTGAGACCCCCAGCAATCTCCTCGCACTAATTCCCTCAAAAATGGAGGAGCCAAGTCAAATAAAGCTGAATTGTAAATTATTTCTCAAGTTAGTACTTCTTAGTACTTTTGATTAGGGGCCAAGCCCAAGCCCATCGGACACTTGGCCGTCCTTGAAATGTTTTTGGATACGCCACGATAATCTAGCGTTAGTTTTAGTTAGCTAGGCTTGTAATTTTTTTCACATTGAAAGTTCCAACACCACAGTAGTCATGAATTTATCATAATTTTCGAGCAAAGAATTAAGGGAAAAATAATTATTATAATATTTTAATTATAAAACTACCCTCAATCTTGTGTTATAGTAAGTATTAAGAGACACCGATCCCCAGCCTTCTTTATATATTTGCATAATTTGACCACTTTTATTTTCTTAAAATGCTAAAATGGAGTGGTTAAATTTAAGTGCCCAAAATTTAGCCACAAAAAAAAAAATTCATGCAAAACTGGCTCAAAAAAATTGTAAAAAAAAATATATTTAATATAGAATATAACAATGTTTACAGCAAGCCACGTTTTTATTGATTATTGTTTGCTAACTGATTGCAACGGCATTGGGGTCCATCGTTGAAGTCTCACAAGAGTGAAACATCAATCTCATCTCTATCAAATCTCCACGTGATTTCTCATGACCCTTGATGTGAAAGTGTGGAAAAATGGTATCAAAACTTAATCTCGGCCCAGCAATCTCCTAGCTGGTTCAATTGAGAGTTTTGAATGGCTGATGGGGTTGGATTATATTATTTTGAGTTAAAAAAAATAGCAAGCCTTCAAATTCGTGCTTTAATAACCTACTAGATTGGATTATGTGTGATTTATACATAAATATTTTATGTACTTGTAATTAATATATTTTTATTTAAATGTTACTTTTTCAGGATTGTATATGAATATTTTTTATGTTTCAATTAAATTATTTTATTTTATTGAGTTTATCTCAATTTAATCACGGTAGAATCATTTGACCCGGACGAAGATTTAACGACAAGTTAGATTTTCATTACTTTGGTATTGATCCAATAAAACGCACCGTTTGGTATGTCTTTTATTTATTGTTATTATTATTATTATTATTATTATTATTATTTTGTATGACAATAAAATGGGTAAGAACTGAACAATCTGGAACCACCCATTTGAGGATCAGCTTCAGATAAGGTTCAAAATGAAATCACTTGGAATTGTGATAAGAGTAGTATTCCCAGAAGGCTGTTATTAAAGAATCAAATGGCATGTGCTTTTATTCTACTTCGTTTCCATGACCATTATAAATTTCTCTTTCATGGATCACGTGTCAATATCAATATTAATTAACTCGGTTTTTAAAAAGAAAAAATTCATGCGTGACATGTTCATATCCCAAGATGTTGATAATTATGTACAGCATCATCATTGATTGGAATTTTGTGAACATATAATGAGCTCATAGTAGGCTTTTCATTAGGGATACCAAGATATATTTTTATAGAAGTATTTACTTATCTTTAACTCGGAGGGTTGCGTTTAAAATTTAAATCTTAGAATGATCTTCACCTAGTTCTCCTCCCATCATTACTTCTTCAGATATTTTTATAAAATATTACTAATTTGGTAAGTCGATGGAGATACATCGTTATGCTTTAAAATGATTTTTTTTGACTCAAAATTACTCTTTTTATTTAAAAATATAAGGTATTTTTTTATGAGTTGGATGTTAAAAAATATAAGATATTTTTAATCTTTCGAGATATAATCATTGTTTTTTTTAAAGTATTCCTATTGATAATGACTTTATATTTATTATAGGGTGTTTAATATGAGTAAATATAAAAAGATAAAGTTAGTTAAAAGGTAAATAATACTTTATTGAGAATGAGATTCAGTTAAAATGTCCTACATTTTTAAACGAAGGGAATACTTTCCATTACTTAAGAATAATATATAGTGTAACATTTTGAGGAACTACTATTTTATGCATTGTAAATGCATGAAAAATTGCAGCTTGCTGATTGATACTCAAATTCGGAAAGGTAACCCTCTGGTTCAAAACTTGCTAAGTGATATATTAAACTTATTTTATGGTAAAAGAGTAAAAATACTCAAGAAATCATTGGTTAGAAGCTTCTAATAGTTTAAAATAAGGAAAAATACAAAAATGCCTGTAAATTTATTTTTCCAATGTATATGTGACCAAATTGTTAAATGTTAGAACCAAAACATAATAGGCAACATCTTTAACTTTTAATGGTTTAGTTATAGATCCATCAAAAAAATAACTTCATAATTACTCATCCACTTTTTTAATTTAAACTATCAGATATTTCTAATTGATGACTTCTTAAATATTTTTATCCTTTTATCTTTCATTCTATTTTCATAGAAGGCACATGTAGGCATGGCTCCTTCATCAGATGGTAAAAATAGCTTTAGAGTTGTAAATAATATGAGTGTATGACATGTTATATATATGTATATATATATATTGTGTGTTAATTATATTTTCCCTTGTGCAATTTAATCCTGACTTTATATTTAAAAAGGCAAATTTATAAGTAATCATTAATATATTAATATAAAATATAGGACAAAGGGACAAAAATATTTACTAAATAGTTGGCCAAGAGCATTCAATAGTTTAAAGTAAAAAAAAAAAAAAAAATATCCATAACGTTATCTAAGTTTATATAGGAGTGATCAAACTATCAAATACTTCAAATGTTCACTAGTTTTAAGTGTTAAAGTTAAGTGTGCTTGCCAATTGTGAAGATTGAGCACTCTGATGATGCCATGTAAGCTAGAGAAAATTTGACCATTGCTATGTGTGGAGTCTCCTTTCCCAAAAATGCTTCTTCTTCATTCTTCTTCCTCAAATGTTGCGTTGCTCCTTGTGCGTGTGTTGTGCTACTCTCTGAGTCTCTGTTCAATAGTCGACAAGGACAATGACGACCACAATGAACCATTGAGGAGGAAGATTGAAAATCTCTGTCGAGCTTTCCACCTTTGTCATGGAGCAGCAGTAGAGTTAAGAAAGGGGGCAAACCATTGAAGAGGAGAAGCTCTAGTCAAATAGATCGAACTCCTTGCTCTTGCATAAGCTTTAATCAAACAAATTAGATAATGGCCATAGCAGTAATCACCGATAGTGGGTTCAGAGTCTATTAAAGGAAAAGGTTTCAACTTTCTTCTCTATCGAAAAATCCCATCTCGCTTTATCCAGGTCATTTTCCCTTGGTATTGTGTATTATCCTCCTTTCTAGGTTTTCAATCCAATCTGATTTATTTGGGTTTGCACCGTGGGTTTTAAATTTTAGTACACTCATTTGTGGACTCTCTTGATTTTTCTTTTTAATTCATTTTCGTTCATACATGCAGAAAAATATTTGATTCAATGGAAACCC